GCCCGGGCCTGCCCAGGCCTGCCCGGGCCAGCCCAGGCCAACCCAGGCCAGCAGAGGCCATCCGAGGCCAGCTCAGGCCAGCCCCGACCAGCCCAGGCCAGCCTGAGCCAGCCGCGACCAGTCCGGGCCAGCCGAGGCCAGCCCGGGCCAGTCGAGGCCAGGCCAGCCCAGGCCAGCCCAGGCCAGCCATCCTTTTCTCCCTCATCCCTCCTCCCTCCTCCCTCCTCCCGTTCCCTCTCAGGTGCTAGCAACCCAGAGACTTTTTGCATAGCAGGCCGGTGGCCAGACCAGTCACAGGGCCGCTCGCGTCGAAGGTTGGGGGATTCTGTTCCGAGGGGTTGGGGCCTCCAGCCGAGGGCGCATAAGCTACATATCCACTAAGATGCTGGGTGAACGCATGCTTTCCATTGCGAGCCCGAGTTTTCAAGCAAGCTGTTGCCACTGCTGCCCCCTCCCCCCCTTCCTTGCTTCTGTCTCTTTCGTCCTCTCTTAGGAGCGAAAAAGTTTCCAGGGCTCCCCGTCCACTCCTCCGTCCAGACTCACCCGCCTTCGCCCTCGCCCTGCCGTCCCCGGCTGCTTAGTGCGTCCTGGCCCCAAGGGGGTCAGGTAGGACTGAGGCCGCGGAGGTGGGTCGGGGGTGAGGGCTGGGAGCGGATCCGGATGGTCTCCACCGCCCACGCTGGCAGACTGCGGTATGCCTTGCAAGGACAGGATGGTTGACCCCAGGGCGGATCCCTTTTACAGCTCCCTGTCCGCACTCACATGCGCTCACTCGGGAACCCCCTGGTGCAAGGTGGGATGCCCTCCATCCCCTGCTACCCCTGGAGATCGCCAGGGAGGTGGGGGGGGCCCTTCATTCCACCGGAGCTGTTGTCCCCTGTGCGCGGATGTGGGAGCCGACTGAGGTCAGGCCGCGGCTGGTCCACCTCCCGGCTGCCCTCGGGGTGCTGTCCCTGCGGCCCTCAAAGAATGCCCACAGTGGCCACCAGCCAGCCCTGGCGCCTGCTGCTCGAGCGACAGGATGACAGCCTCGGCGCGGAGGAGGCCTGGGCGCTCAGCACCTCTGGTGGCGCCATTCGTGATGCCACAGAGAGTTCCAGCGACGTCCCTAGTGGCTGCGCCCGCATGGTGGCCCGCTCCATATCGGCGCACCCCTCGCGCGCTTCGGAGCTCCACCGACGGCGGCCCCAGCGGCTGCGTCCGCGTGGTGGCCCGCCCCATGTCGGCGCAACCATTGCGTGGTTCGCGGCTCCATCGCCGGCTCCACCATGCGCAGTGGCTGCGTCCGCATGGTGGATTGTCCCAGTTCGGCGCAACCATTTCACGCGTCGTGGCCCCGGAGGACGCTTTTTGAATGCCCCCGCGGCTGCGCCCGCATGGTGGCCCGCCCCGTGTCGGCGCACCCTTCGCGCGTCAGTGGCCCCATACAGAGCTCTTCAGATTGCGACTGCATGTGGCCCGCCCCGTTCGGGCGCGCCCCTGGCGCCTGCTGCTCGAGCGACAGGATGACAGCCTCGGCGCGGAGGAGCCCTGGTGGCGCTTCGTGGTTCCACAGAGAGTTCCAGCGAAGGCCCCGTGGCTGCGCCCGCATGGTGGCCCGCCCCGCGTCGGCGCATCCCTCGCGTGCTTCATGGCCCCATAGGGAGCTCCACCGACGGCCCCAGCGGCTGCGTCCGCATGGTGGCCCGCCCCATGTCGGCGCAACCATTGCGTCGTTCGTGGCTCTCTCGACAGCTCCACCGAAAGCGCCAGTGGCTGCGACCGCGTTGTGGATTGTTCCGGCGCACATATCTCACGCGTCGTGGCCCCAGAGGGCGCTCCACCGAATGCCCCCGTGGCTGCGCCCGCATGGTGGCCCGCCCCGCGTCGGCGCACCATTCGCGCGCTTCGTGGCCCCATGCAGAGGTTTAGAGATTGCGCCCGCATGGTGACCCGCCCCATGTCGGCGCGCCCCTGGCGCCTGCTGCTCGAGCGACAGGATGACAGCCTCGGCGAGGAGGAGTCCTGGACGCTCAGCTCTCCTGGTAGCGAGTTTCGTGGTTCAACATGGAGTTCCAATGGCGGCCCTAGTGGCTGCGCCCGCATGGTGGCCCGCTCCATATCGGCGCACCCTTCGCGCGCTTCGTGGCCCCATAGGGAGCTCCACCGATGGCCCCAGCGGCTGCGTCCGCATGGTGGCCTGCCCCATGTCGGCGCAACCATTGCGTGTTTCGTGGCTCCATCGGCGTCTCCACCGAAGGTGCCAGTGGCTGCGTCCGCATGGTGGATTGCCCCAGTTCAGCGCACCCATCTCGCGCGTGTCGTGGCCGAATGCCCCCATGGCTGCGCCCGCATGGTGGCCCGCATCGTGTCGGCGACGTCGGAGGCCTGGAGGTTGGCAACAGCGCCAATGTTTGCGGCGCACCTCCACTGAGGGAAAACGACCCCCATCCTGCGAAGGAAAAAACGACACAAACATGAACTTTCGGAGATCCGCGCAGATTTCTGGGATCGACGCCAGAGCCCCCCTGTCGGCTCTTCCAGCGCCGCCATTGGTGCGTTCCGCCCGCCTGGGAGGGGGGTTCCAGCGCCGATCCGAGAAATCCGCGCGGACCTTCGACACTTTATGTTTATGCCTTCTTTGGTTTTATAATCTCGGCGATGGTGGCGATACTCGGGCGTCATAGGTGGCCGGAAGACTTACCACCAACACCCAGAACTAGGATCATATTCCCCGGTTGGACTCAACCCCCTGTTTTTGCGTGTCGGTGCCCATTTTTTATGCCTATCGGATAGGGTCGGACTAGATGGGATCGGAGGATCGCGCCGCATCGCTGATGCATCGGCGATGCGGCTCGATGAGGAACTCGATTTTCAACACGCCGACGGCGCCGATGCACTGCCGACGTCAACGGAGCACCAGCGCCGATGCATTGCCGACGTCACTGGTGCATCGTCGATGGATCCACGATGCATCCGCGATGCGGCGCGATCCTCCGACCCCATCTGCTCCGACCCCATCTGGGAGACCGCTACTCCGGATTCCATAACAAAGTGGGGGGGGGGTCACATTTTGGGGGGGGGGTCTGATTTGAGCTGTCTTGGAGGGCTCGGGGGGGTCTGGGCAAAGGGCCGCACTTTCATGGATGGTCTGGGGGGGTCTAAAACTTCTCGTCTGGGAGGGTTGAGACCCCCTCCCTTTTATTACGAAATCTGGAGTACAGCTCCAAGCTTCCAGCGACCGCCGTGCTGCCGCAGCCTCCCGTCCAGGGAGGATTTTTTTGGGGGGGGGCGGTGGCCGGGCGCGGCGCGTGTGGCGCGGCGCTCCTCCGCGCGAGGGCGCGTCGTGCGCGAGCTCGGCCACGGGCTGGGCTCGGGTCGGCGGCGACATCCGATCCCCACTCGGCCACGCCCAGAGGGTCGGGCCGGGCGAAAGGGGGGGATTGGGAAAGGGGGGGTTACGAAATTTGCTGCATGCAGCTGGTTTCGGCTTCTCCGAGGGGCCCATTCCTCGATACATAGCCGCCTCTGGCGCCGGGAGGCGCCGGGAAAATCAGCTACGTGAGCTGATTCTCAAACCCCCCCTTTGCTATCCCCTCCTTTCGCCCGACCCGAGAGGGGGGCAGGGGGAGGGGGGAAGGCTTCCTGGAGACCTGCTGCTTCGAAGACGCGGGCCGTCTCTCTCCATGTAGGGCCAGCGCCTTCTAAGAAAAGCAGCGTGCTTCTAAGGAGCCCTCCCCCCTCTCCCCACTCCCCTTGCGCGCCGCCACCCCTACCCTCGCCGATCAATCGTTCTTGCAATTTGATGGGTGGCGGGGGAAGGGTTCGGAATTCACCGAACACGTGGCGAAATCCGACGACCCCTATCCCAGGCCCCCACTGATTCAGGAGAATCGATGGTTGGTGGGGGTAGGGTTCGGAACCCGCCGCCTAGGGGGGGTGTTGGGGTGGGACGGGCTCATGGGGGGGGAGACTCGGACAGGTTCCTCTTTCAGTCCTCCTCTTCCTCCTCAGTTTCCTCCTCCCCGTCCAGCCTCCTTCGTGCTGGGGCGGATGGCTCGTAGATGCATTCCGTTCCGTCCCATCTCTCCCCATCCCTCGTCCCCATCTGTCATGGCGGATTTCGTTCGGAAAACACGAGGATTGGCCCGGAGTGTCCTGGAGAAGTTCGTTCCGGTTTTCGAGGTGAATTTCGTGCGGACCTATTTTGGCCAGGAATGACGACTGAAATAAGATCCACGCGAAATTCGATTCGTGTTTCTTTCGCCGTTTCGGGGCTCTGCATTGATAGGCACCCAGGCGAAAAATCCGCTGCAGCACGCCTGCAGGGTCGGTACAGTGAATCACCGCCCACCAAACCACCCCAACCCAACCCGAAGGCCACGACTTGCCCTCCATTTCCAGTGGGGGGGGGGTCGGGGAACCTCGAAAAAACACATGGAACCCGTACCCCCCCCAACCCGAAATTCGGGTCAAATTCGGGTCTTCGGGTTGAGTTGGGGTGGTTTGGTAGGTGGTCAGTGAACAGGAGAGGACTGGGGCGGGCCGGCAGGCAGCAGCCAGGGGGGAGCGGCGGGCCCTGCGTCCCTCTGCTGGCCTCCCGGGCAGCACCGCTGCACGAGCCCCGGGGTAGCAGGAGGCTTTCTCCGAAGGGCTCTGGCGACCCGTCCTCCTCCTCCTGCTCCTCCTCCCCCTCCTCCTCCTCCTCCTCCTCCTCCTCCTCCTCCTCCCTCCTCCTCCTCCTCCTCCTCCTCCTCCCTCCTCTCCTCCCCTCCTCCCCTCCCCCTCCCCCTCCTCCATCTCCTCCTCCTCTTCCTCCTCTTCTCCTCCTCCTCCTCCTCCTCCTCCTCTCTTCCTCATCCTCCTCCTCTCCTCCTCCTCCTCCTCCTCCTCCTCCTCCTCCTCCTCCTCCTCCTCCTCCTCCCTCTTCTCCCCCCCCTGTCAAAACATTCCGTCCCCTCCCTCCCCATCCCCCGGCCTCTCTTTCGCGGAGGGGGGCGGAGGGCGGAGGGCCGCGCGAGGAGATCGGAGTGCACGACGCGACCAAGCAGACGCTGCTGGAGGCCGACCTCTCGCGGTGCGGCCGGCTGCTCCTGGCCTGCAGCCCCTTCGTCCGCGTGCTCCTCGCTCGCCCCCCCCCCCCCCCCCCTCTACTGCCTCCCCGTGTGCTTCCTCCGCCGCCTCTCCGCCTTCCCTCTCTCCTCTTCCCTCCTCCTCATCGGCGCGGTCCTCCTGCCCATCCGCCTCTTCCAACTCCTGGCGGGGGGGAGGAGGGAGCAGGACCTCCTGATGCCTTCCATCCTGCCTGTTCTCCCCTCCTCCTTCTTTCCGCCGCCGCTCTGCTCTTCCGCCTTCCTCGTATTTCTCCTCTGCCTTCTCGTTATTCCGCCTCTTCCCTCCTCATCTGGTCCCTCGTGTTCTCCTGGTCATCGTTCTTCATCGGGGTGGCATGGCAATGAACAGGGTAATGCGCGGTTCAGGATTACGTGATGAAGGGGGCACGGTCGAGGATGAACATAAAGGTCGAGGGCGATGAGGAGGTGGAGCAGGAGGAGGAGGAGTAGAAGGATGCGGATAAAGGCGAACCGGACGTAGCTGGCGAGAAGGACAGGCTGACGATCTGGTGGACGACGAGAGGTGCGGGGAGAGGTAGGAGGAGGAGGAGGCGGAGGAGGAGGAAGAGGAGGCGGAAGTACAGGATACAAGCAACGCCAGCACCGACCCTATATCAGAACGTCCACGGCGACGACCTGCACCCCGCAGCGCGGTACGCCCTCGACTCGACCCCCATCGGCAACAACAGCCACAGGACGAAGAATATCTACACGGACGCGTCCTACAACATCAAGAGGAAAGGCAGCTGCCCTTGGGCTTTCATATTGTTGCAGGAAACAAATCTGTTCGAAGAGCAAACATTCAGAGGCGCATACTACGGCATCGTCAGCAACAACCGCACTATGGATCTCCACTGCAGCGCATATACCAACACAATAGGCGAGATCATGACAGTAATACAAAGACACTCATGTGGACTATTGCGGCCAACGAATCGCATGACGTCAACATCTCTACAGACTGCAAGCCGGTCATCGACATATGTTTCGGTACGGCAGCATCGACCGCAGACCACGACCTCGCCATGCACCACAAGCATGTATACGCTTGAGCCAGCACCATCGCCAGCATCAACCTCCACCGTGTGCCAAGCCACGAAGGGATGCCTTGGAATGAACCAGCTGATGGGTTATCAAAGCGTGAGCGGAATATGCACGAGAAGAACGAACCTACCAACAATGTGCCGCTGAGCTTCCAACTCGCTATCACTACCAGCAAATGTTACCAACGGGAAAAAGTACCGGACCATAATAGCCGAGATCGACACGCATACCTAGATAAACAGGACAACGATCTCATCTTCGGTAAAACGGAGCGCGACGCCCAGCCGGAGTACATGATTGCGCTACGGGGACTACAACTATCTCAGCGGATATCAAGACCAACGTTATGACATACAACGTTGAGAGCGTCAGAGAAGCGGAGCCGTCAGTCAAGAAACATATGACTAGAGCAGGACGATTGACTAACGAATGGCGTTGGCCGATCATACGACGGCAGCTACAACATCGCGAAATACACCGTCTTGGGATCCAAGAAGGACGGAACGAGCGACGAGTTGCTACCAGCAACGGGTTCCACATGATCAGCAGCCCTCGCTACAACTATAAGTGCGGATGCGAATTGTGGGCCAATTCTACGCTACCATACGCTACAACACCGACAGGGCCACTATTCTTTCAACCATCGGATTTCCACGTCATCTCAGCCAGGCCACGACTACACATTGTGCGGATCCAAGCGAAAGCCTTCGACCACATCATACGCGGTGCGCGTGCTCCGCATAAAGAGAAGAATGCCAAATGACGAAATGAGTTCTGGGAATCTTTAACAAAGCAAGTGTCGAAGTTCAGCCCGTCCATAAGATTTATTGACGCGAACGGCCGGGTGGGTTCCACGACATCGCAATGGGGTGGACCCGCATGACTGCAACAGCAACAAGATGAGAACGGTTTACGGCTACACGAGCTGGCAGCGTCTGCGCACATGCCGATTGTCAATGCACACAGATCGGATGGCACAGATCACCATGCATGAAAAGATGCCCACGGACGTGGACATCGCATTGACTTGATCATGTCAAACGAACAACTACATCAAGCCGTGACTACATGTATGACGTCACCTGGCCTGGAGACGGTAAAGAAGCAAGCCGAAGCGGACCAACCACGAGAAGATCATGCCCCAGTGCTTGCGCAAGTGGCCTGCCAAATATCTGCCAGGGCCAACAGGAAGTTGCCCCCCCTAAGATCGACAAAACGAGGCTGACGGACGAAGAGGCGATCAACAACTTCAAGCAGATGCTGGATGCGACGGTGATCCCCGACTGGTATACAAGCCTTGACCAGCACTCCTACTTCTACACGCTCAGCATCATGGAGGCAGCCACCTCAGCATTGCCCAATGGCCAGCACAGGGAGATTCAGGGGCACATTTCCGAACAGACTTTCGAGTTCATCATCGATCGAAGGCGATGTGCTAAGCTACTGCGGAAGAAAGCGTAGAATGGGCGAAAGCACTACCTGGCTACGAGGAGAATCGCCGAATCAATAGCTTACACAATCGAACGCCCGACAAGAAGGCTACCAACAAAGTGCTCGACCAGCACTGCAATGGACTGATGCGACGTGCGATCGAAGCGCAGCGGGCTAACACCGGCAACGACTACGATGGATTCTTCATCGTTCCACGAGGTTGGTGCAATGATGCGCGGGAAACATCGTCACGAATGGCCAGCGACGGTTGCGACGTGTTCCTCGACCAACAAGTTACGCGTGCAGCCGAAGCAAAGTGCAACAACGAGCCATACAACGAAAGTAATTGAGCAGGTAAACTTCTAGTGTTTGTCGGGCGCATGCGACGCGAGACGCGGGCATGCCCTAATATGCTGAATAGCAACGGCGAGGTGGTTGCAGATGCGGCGGTTAAGCACAGCGGGGCCGCCCACCACCTCGGCGACGTAGATGCTGCAGCATTCATGACAGAGTCCGAAATATCAGAGCGAAACATCAGCGCGGACGATATCTGCGACAGCAATACGATCAGACGCATCGACATTTTCGCCAGCATCTACGAGCTTGAAGAACAACTGGCACGGTGCAAACTCGGACGCGGTGCAGGGCCTGACGAAGTTAAGGACAACCTTGCCCACGCAGCACCACGAGAGACGGCGCGCCACATGCACCCGCTGATTTCGAAGACTGCGTGGTTTATCCGAGAAGCAGCGACGCGCGCAGGATCGCGAACGACACGCTTCTGGAAAGGGAAAGGGACTGAAGGGGCGCCACAAAACCACCGTTCGACATTGCTGGCCAACGCCGTCATCAAGCACCACTACAGGTATAGACGCCAGTGCGTGAAGGGCCTGATACCTGGGTTATTTAATCGCTTCGCTCATCCCGCCGGCTCTGGAGCGTGATTTGGGGCTTCTTGGGGCCGTCTTGAGGGCTTCTTGGGGGCTTCTTGAGCGTCTTGGGGCTCCTCGGCGGCGCATTGGGCTCCCCTGGGGCCTCCTGGGGGGCTCTTGGGGGCCCCTTGGGGCGGGGGGGGGGGGGGGTCGATTGCGGTCCCCCCCGTCGGAGGCCACGATCCTCGTGAGAGCGGCGAAAAAATAGCCCCCCCCCTCCCGGGGTCGCCCGGGGCCCAGCCGGAGCCCGGACGGGGATCGGCCGGGGCATTTTTCGCCCGGGGCCTTCCAGGGGCCGCCCCGCGCGCGCGACTTAGAAATATTGTTGAGTAGTTACTGGAGATCTTAGCACGCCTCTGGCCCGTTGGGCCGGCGAATTCTTCAGCGCGCAGATGGGGGGGTCGAAGTCGCTGCAGCGCGGACTACAACCGCGCCATAATGCGATTGACTTTCAACCTTGCAGCCGCGGAAGGAACCGATCTCATCATGATCATACTTGATTTGAAATCAGCCTTTCACAAGGTAGCCACGAATTTGGCAGGCGACATGCAGACGAGCTCAGACGACATCGGCAACATGATCGATCACATGGACATACCTAAAAGCATGCAGCCAGCTATCCAGGCCCTCATGCACAACAATGGCATCGCCAGTACCCACATACACAGCAAGCGTGCACTATCGATGTTGACCGAGGCCCACCGCAACACACGGTCCTTCAGAGCGCGACTCAGTACACGCAACACACAGGCTTGGAACACGACCAGGAGTACCTATCGCCGACTTCACATTCAACGCGCCGGTGTCTGCAGTTACGAAAGACTATCTCGAAGAAGCCATCAAAGCGGACGCCGCAGTCAGGATGCCAGGCAGCCCACCAGTATTCTGTGCTAGTCATGCAGCGCAGCATATGACGACGACATCATGTGTCGATGATGCGAAAGCGATGGCAACGGCCACCGACGGTCACGCGATCGAGGCTACAGTCAAAACCATGTGAGGGATACTGATACGAACTACACTATCGTGCGTGTTACCCATCAACCTCACCACGTCCAACTTCATTGTCTACAACAGCAGCAAGGAGATCACATAATAGCAAGACAACGCATATCGACCATAACCAGTACGCGGTCATGGGAATGGCAGTCGCTATCGTGCGAACGCTTAAAGTGCTGGGCTCTTTGGTGAACGATCGGAATGACTTTGCCCGGGAAGCTGCAGCATGTGTACTTGCTCTAAAGTGGGCGACCACACCACTTCGAAAGACGGCGTTCAAGCGCGACGAGATCACCAGTATTGCCAAGATACAGTACCTCAGTGCTCTTGGCTACTCACGATTACTACACAATGCAGGAGTATGGATGCCTACAAAAAGGACAGGGACGGAAACTATCGCTTTTGCGTGCACAGCAGCAGCGAGGGTGGCAATGTGCATTGACCATCGGGCAGCACAGCGGGGGAATATTTCCAACATCGAGATCATCAGCGGGGCAGGCATAGCGACGCTTCCACAGAGACTACGGCAAGCGATGCTGCGAGAGATCATGCGGCTAACTGCGGCATGCCCGACCGAATCAAGAGCCCTACTCGGCTATGACACCGAGAACAACGGCAGATGGTCTATTACGATTGCTGGCGACCTCCACCACATCAAGGCGCGCACTAGCAAGCAACACAACGCGCCCAACCACGACGACATACGCCCATGGATACGCATGGCAAAAGAAGAACCATCCAAATTCAAAAGCATAACCACACACGCCTACAATACAGCCGTCGCGCACAACAAAGAACACGCAGTCGCAGTTGCCTGGGGGAGGCGCACCGCTGACAGTTGCGACGGCACCACCATTCCGACGCTTGACAATGAAGACCCTCAACATGATCGCAGGCACCTGTGCTGCGAATGCGGGCAAATCCTGGACGGCAAGTCAGCGTACCAAGGGAACATGGGTGCGAAGCACAGACAGGATGAGTATATGATCGAGTGCGTTCACGGGGCTACATGCCAAGCCTGTGTGAAGGAGTACTGGGCGGCGAACAGACTGCAGAAGCATATGTGCGCCAGCAGACAATGTGCACCACTCGCCATGGAGTTCAACAAGCGGCTTGACGACGACGAAGCAGAACACATATCCGAGGAAAGAAGGCACACGCGGTGGACCAACAAAAAGGGCTACCCGAAGATCACGCAGACAGCCCATGCGTGCAACTCCACGGGCCACCCCTCGCACTACGCACAGACGCTAAGCACGAATGCGCCTCGATGATTCCCGCAACAGTCCCTCCGACCACCACAACATGGTGAAGGGCGAGATGGGCGGCGAGGACAGTGGGAATACGATCTTCGAGCCGATCGATCCCAACGGTATGCGCGAGCTGATACAGTTGACCGTGCTACAGCAGGGCCAGGCACCGACGGGATAGACCAGATTACGATCCTGATCGCCACCGGCCAGCATGCCAACAGCGACGGCACTACGCGCATCGCCAACGGCATCGGGCATCCAGCGCAAATACAACATCGACGAGCACGTATATTCTCCGTGGCCAGCCACACGAGCCAGAAGCACAACGAGAGAGAGGTTGACTACATCAGCGACGCTATCTACGACGCCACACGGGATGGTACAATCGACATCATCTACTGCAAGAAGTGCACTCCGATCGCCGGCAACATCAACCAATTACGCGACGAACGGTTCCCGTGGCAGTAGTGACGCCAGCAGACACGACCACGCGACCATTACGGGAGATCGCGCTAACGTACGAGACGCCATCTCCCTCATGTGCACGTGACGGCCTGCGTGGCAAATCTCGGGCCTATGGCGACAATTGCCCCACGCGAGTTACAACGCCTGGGGAGAAACAGCCTCGTCACCATGACCGACCGATCCGCTTCTGGCATGCGTTTCCACGGCGCCACCGACCACGACGACGACGCAATACGCATCCTGGCGGCAGCACTCGGAAACAGTCATGCAGACAGAAAATTGGCGACCTCAGCAATTACGCTACACAGCACGCCCGCCACTTCGCGGCGAGCGAGCCGACGAGCTCTCGAGCGGACCCCGCAGCGCACAGCGCCGAAGGGCGGGGGACGACGTGTTTAGAACCCAACGGAAGGCACGCAGACAGTCGCTTCCTGGGGCGCCCTCTGGTACGCATGTTGGAGCCTGCATCCCTTCGGAGGATAGTCAGGCGACGAGAGTGAACCATGGCGTCTCTGGGGGTCGTGGTTCTCCCCTCGGAGCCAGCATCCCCTTCGGAGGGCTGCTTGGGGCTGAGGGCGAAGGCCGTGGCTCCATAGTGCGAACAAGGGCGGCGTGCTGAATGCTGGGCACACGTCGCCACGACTTTGCCGCCCGTGACACGGGTGCATGAACATCGTGTTCGGCGGTCTCGTTCTGCGGCTCGTCGGCGGGCCTCGCGGACGACGTGGCCCACTGCGACTGGCACGTCGCCCCCCCTGAAGGCGGGGGGGGGGATGAGGACGACGCCCTCCTGCGACGATGGCCCCGCGGGGGCTTTTTGCCGCGTGGGCCGCGGGGGCCCTCGTGAAGGCCCCTTCTCTCCCCTCCTTCCCCGAGGGCCTCTGTGAGACATTGGTGCCCCTGCCTTCTTCTCTGGCCTCGCGGCCCCGCGGCCGCTTTCCCCGTGCTGTGTTTTCCGCGGGCCCCCTCCTGTGCTCATTCCTGGCCTGGTTCCCGTTGTTTCCCCGTTCATGGCCGGGCTCTGGCTTGGGGGGCCCGACGGTTTACATGTGCAGATGCGCCTTGGCCCCTGTCCACCACCCCTGACATTGATAGCGTGATGTTCGTCCTCGACACTATCGGGGTGGTGGTAGGGGGTCCGAAGGACCAGTAGGTTTTCCGCGACCTGGTGACCCCCGCCTTTCCTTCTCTCCGTGTCCCTCGAGGCCTGCGTGGACCCTTGGGGCTCCTCTTTCTTTCCTTTCTGGCGGGGGTCTCCTGGGTCCCTGGGCCCGCTCTCCGAGGCTTCCTGGACGCTCTCAGAGGCCTTCGGAGGTAGTTAGGGTCGCGCCGCGCGGGCGTGCGGCGCGGGGTTCGGCGGAACAAACCGCCCTTGCGCCCGCAGCGTCAGGCGGAGGCACGGGGAGAGGTAGGAGGAATAGGAGTATGAGGAGGAGGAGGAGGAGGAGGCGGAGGATGAGGAGCTGGTCAGGGCGGATGTGGTGGAGGATTGATGGAGGAGGATGGAAGATGATTAAGGGGAGGGGGCGGAGGCGAGGATGAGAACAATGACGATCGGCGGTTCAACGATGGGGCCCTGAGGGATTGGGCCCTACGGGCGAGCGGGCTCACCATTTCAAAATGAAGCGAGGGATTCTTCCAATCCCGACGGCCACATGGCTCACGGCATTATCTTCGAACCGCAGAGATCATGGTTTTGGCATCGTTCGGACGTGTGCATCCTGTTCGCGGCGAGGACCACGGATGATCATCTCGGGCAATCTTGCGAAACATAAGCGCACGAAAACGACAAATGCGTGATGGCAAGTGGTAGGGATTGAAATTGGAATAGATGGGAATCTTGATGAGCGGTCGGATGAGCAGGAGGATGAATCAGGACGATCGGGGGAAGGTGGACGACGAAGACGAGGGATATGGCGAGAGAGGAGATTGGATCGAGGAGGAGGACCAGGTGTATGGTGGTGAGGAGGAGCAGGCGGAGCGGGGTGGGGGGACAACCCGATGAAGTGGGGTGGGAGCCAGAACGTAGATGGAGGAAACGGATGAGGACGCAATGCGATGAGACCGGAGGAGCCCGCGCAGGATGAGGGCGGACATGCAGGCAAACGAGGAGAAGAAGGAGGAGTATCAGGGAACATGCGGCATAGGATTTTGGCGGAAGATGTTGCGGATACCGCCGCGGAGACACATGAGGATGAGGGCAGACAAGGGAGACCAGCGATAACGATGATGGATCGTAATGATGAGGAAAACGAGCAGAGAGGAGGAGGATGGAGACGGAAATGGGGGGAAAAAGAAAGGGAGTACGAGAAGGAGGGGAGGCAGTCGAGGAGGAGGAGGAGGAGGAGGATGTGGCACGCGGGCCTTGGGGAAACTTGCGGGAGGTGAAAGAAGATACGGGGCATGAGGATTGGGAGTGCGAGGGGGTGGATGAACACAAGGAGAAGGGAAACCACGATACGGGAGGATGCGAACCAGGAGGAGCAGAAGCCTTAGGTGTTGGAGGAGGTGGACGAGGCGCCGCGGCGTCCGCGTGCACGCCAATTCAAGGATGCTTGCCGCGCCGCCGTCCTACGCGCTGTCTGCTTCCTTTCTTCTACTATGTCCGCTCATCCTCTCCAACTTCCCGCCCACACTTCCTCCCCCCCTTCCCTCCCCGTTCCATCCTCGTCCTCCGCCTTGCTCTTCGGGCGCCTCTTGCATCCTTACCTCGTATGGTGTTTACTGCTGCCTTTCTGCAAGCCCGGGATCCGCCTTCTCCCCCCATCCTCGTCCTCCTCCTCCGCCCCGTCAGTTCTTCTCGTCCTTCTCCGCCATCTTCCTCCTCAGCCTCCTCTCCTGTTCATCCTTCCTTCCCACCTGCCTCCCATCTTCCGCTCCTTCCCCTGGAAGGCGGCCGTGGGGTCTGAGCTGGCCAAGCCCAGAGAAAATCTGTCAAGAGGGGGGTGATGCGGCCAATCCGCTCAAAATCGGTCCATGGACCGCTCCCGGGGTCCAATTGCACTGCTTTTCGAGCCGCGCTCGGCCGTTGTGACGAACAGCCCCAGGATGACCCACAGGGACGAAATAGGACCCCCTGCACCCGTCTGCTTCTGGCGGCCAGAACCGGCCGACTCCAATCCTGCCCCTCCCCCTCCCGCACCCACCCTCGTCCCGCCGTCTTGTTCCCCTTTCCGCAGGTAGGCTTCCCCGAGAACATGCACGACCTGCCCGTATCCGAGCTGTCCACGGGCTGGCGCATGAAACTGACCCTGTTGGTCAACATGCTCAAGCACGCCGACCTCGTTCCCGCGGGCGGCGAGAGCCACCTCACATCGCGCCCGTGTGTTTCCCACCAGCCCCACAGTCCCCTTCCTCGAGCCTCCTCGGCCTGCTCCCTCGCTTGTGCCCGCCCCCCCCCCTGCTTCGTCGTGTCCTCGTCATCCCCCCCTGTTCCGCCCCCTCCTCAGCGTTTCGGATTCCGCTTCCTCGTCTTCCTCCTGCTCCTTCCCCCTCCCTCGAATGGGAGCATTCGCGCGCCCACTGCCATTCTGACTCCAGCCAGCTTGCAGGATGCGATGTACTATGGTGGTTGAAACGTACCCTTCTCTTTTATATCCCTCTCATGATGCCATTGCCGCCATGTCTTTCACAACTGCCGCTCGCAAGGCCAGTCGGCAGCGGAGCTGGTGCAAGCTCTAGCGCGGATCCAAGGGAAGTCTGCAGAGTGCGATCTGAACGCACATCCGCATTTCCCCCACTCTCAGTATGGGTACAGTGGAGGCCCATGCCAAGAAACACCCTGCTTGCCTTGAGGCTGTCCTGGGTTTCTTGGGTTTCGACGGTTTTGCCATGGACAGCGTGACGTTCCCACGCCAAAAATCAACGGAATCTTGTGGTCTCAGGTTCGAGTTTCTTGTGGAAGGTTTCTTGTGGACTGGCCTCCATTGTACCACCCTGCAGTCCCTGAACAGCTTGCGCTTCTGGCTGTTCTGTACCATTTTCGGGGAATTCGCCCAATCCACAGGCGCGATGAGGCAAACGCCTTTGAGAGCAAGTGTCCCTGTTGGTGCACCGTCTCTTGGGAAACAAATGGTCCAGTGCAGGGATGTTCCTGCCCAAGGAGGCAGTGATGCCTCGGCTCCCTCATCACAGCCACAACTCCCCGGCAATGGCAGCGGGACGCAGACTCTTGCGTTGTGCCGCACGATTGGGCCAGGCTGTGGGCTGTGCAGACTTACATCCTAGTGAGCACGCTGTGCACTCTGAGTGGCTCCATGCTAGTTTTTGTATCCAGCTGCCTCCGGCAAACCCCGCCACCGTGCCTGTGCAACAGCACAGCAGGAAGGAGGCTGAGTGTAGGAATGCCGCGACTCCGACGAGACGTCTGAACTGAGACAGGTCCTGAACTCGACCCCGCCCTCGTCCCCGCGGCACGAAGGAGGAGGAGGAGGAGGAGCACGAGGAGAACTGTGAGAAGGCCTCTTTGGGCCTTCGTGGGGCCTCCTGGGGGCCTTCTGCGGGGTTCTTGGGGGCGTCTTGTTGGCTTCCTGTGGCCTCTTGGGGGCCTCTTGGAGTCTCTTGGACTGTCTTCGTGGGCTCTTGGCCCGTCTGACGCCCTCGGAGGCCGTCTTGGGGGCCTCTCCTGGCCGTCTTGGTGCCCTCTTGGTAGCCTCTTGGGCGATCTTGGGGTCCGCTTGGTCAGACTCGGAGCCATTTTGGGGGCCTCAGGAGCAGGAACAGTCTTGGAGCTAGCCTGGAGGCTCCATGGGCAGTCACGGGCGGTCGGAAACTCAAACAACCGAGAGTTCCAAAATTCTTCAAACACCGAAGATCAAATAAATAGGTCGACGGATTCGCGTGACGGGTGTGCCGACATGGGCGGGGGGGGGGGGGCGTTGTGCGATCCGTGCCTCTGAGCCTGTGGGTTGTGCTCCCTGTGGGCATGATTCACGTGATGTGGTTGAGCTCCCGGTGGGGGAGAGCGCAACGCAAACCCAACCTATGACGCTATGACGTTTCTCTGTGGTGCCGCAGGTGCATTTACTTGCGGGGCAAGATCCGCATGAGGGGCGCGCCACTCCACGAATTTCTCTCTGGAGACATAGGTGGAGCTCCCTGTGGGGCAAGATCCTTGCGAGGGGTGTGCCGACATGGGCGGAGGGACGCTAAGCCAAGCGTGTTTCTGGGGCCGTCTTGTAAAAGGACGTGTTTTCTCTTAAGCAGGTGACGGTTGATTTCGGTGCGAGCCTCAGGTCAAAATTTGATTCTGGCTTTGGCGCCGCGCACGTCCATTTAAATCCGCCTGAAGAAGGACCCAACCATACTCCAGATTTTGTAATAAAAGGGAGGGGGTCTGGACCCTCCAAGACGAGCCATTTCAGACCCCCCCCGTGGGAGAACCCTTCAAAACGTCGTCCCCAGACCCCCCCAGGCCCTCCAAGATAGCCTGGGAAAGACCCCCCCCCGAAATGAGACCCCCTCCCTTTTATGACGGCATCTGGAGCATGCAGCCGCGAGGATCGCGAAGCATCTGAGGCGGAGGAGGGGGGCCCGCGGAGGCCCGAGCCCCCGTGCGTGGCCGCGACAGCCTCCGGCAGCCTCTAATAGCCGGGCATGGCACCAGATAGCCTCCAGGAGGCCTGTTTTTCTTTGGATTCGGGCAAGTTTACTCCTCCTCCTTTTTCCAGGAGGCCTCCTCCTCCTCCTCCTCCTCCTCCTCCTCCTCCTCCTCCTCCTCCTCCTCCTCTCGTCCGCCCTCCCCCCCCCCTCCTCCTCCCCCTCCTCCTCTCGTACGCCATTGATCGATAATTTTTTGCCCCTTGGGCTTTGTGGAGGTCTCCTTGGATGCCTCACGGGGCGCCTCTGTGGCCCCCCGGAGTCCGTCTGAAAGTGCCTGTTTTTCTTTGGATTCGGGCACTTTTACTTGCATGGACGGGGGGGGGGGCTGAGTCTGAAGCAAGCCGAAAACAATTCGACGTGCGGAAATCACGCAAGTCGAGAGGCGCTTGCACGCTCGTGTTCGATTGGAGAGGGGCGAGGGGGGAGAGGGGGGGGGGCGAACGCCATGCAAGTAAGCTTGCCTGGATCTAAAGAAAAACAGGCTCCAAGAGGCCTCAAGACAGCCTCCCATGGTTTCCGGATGGGCTGGTGGGGATACGTTTTTTTGGTCGCGGGCGGACGCGAATTCGCAGTCGCCGAGCTGAGAGGTCGGGGCCACGGGCCTGTCAAGTTAGCAACACGCAAGCCAAACTGGTGGGGATACGCGAAGCCTCAAGAACTTGTGTTTCAAGTGCCCCCCCGTGGCCGATATCCTTCTCCTGCTGCTACTCCTCGCCTTGGGTTGAGCTCCCTATGGGGCCCCGAACCGTGTGAGGGCTGTGCCGAACTGGGGCGGGGCCGCCATGTGGACCCTGCCTCTGGGGCCTTGGGTTTAGCTTCCTACCGGGCCACGAACCGTGTGAGGGGTGTGCCGAACTGGGGCGTGGCCGCCATGCGGACCTTGCCATTGGGGCCTTGGGTTGAGCTCCCTAAGGGGCCACGAACCGTGTGAGGGGTGTGCCGAACTGGGGCGGGTCCGCCATGCGGACCCTGCCACTGGGGCCTTGGGTTGAGCTTCCTACGAGGCCCCGAACCGTGTGAGGGGTGTGCCAAAATGGGTGTCGGTCCCCGCATGCGAGCTTTGCCACTTGGGCCTTGGGTTGAGCTCCCTAAGGGGCCACGAACCGTGTGAGGGGGCCACGCACCGTGTGAGAGGTGTGTCGAAATTGATGGCACGGACGCATAGGGTGACGATTGTGATGATGCTGATGCTGCTGCTGCTGCTGATGCTGATGCTGATGATGATGATGATGATGATGATGATGATGATGCTGACGCTGACGCTGACGATGATGATGATGATGATGATGATGATGATGATGATGATGATGATTTGACGTGATTATGAACGTTATCAATCGCATTGCTCTAGAGACCAAGGACACTAAGTTCAGAAAAGCATGGTTCAGGACTGTTTGGTTCGGAAATACGTGGTTCAGAATTGCTTGGTTCAGAACTTCGTGGTTCAGACTGATTCGGTTCATAATTCAGTTGTTCAGAATTGTTCGGTTCAGAATTGCGTGGTTAAAAACCGCACGGTTCATAATGGCGACATCACCATCACGACCCACATCATTACCATGGATCGTCCTCACGGGTTATCATCCGTTGATATCGTCTTTGGCATCATCATCAGCATCAGCATCAGCATCAGCATCATCATCATCATCATCATCATCATCATCAGCAGCAGCATCATCATTACATCATTACTGACGTTTCGCGTATCCGAACCAGCCCATCCAGCATTAATGCCCTGACGAAGTGTCCTGGCCATGGAAGTGGGGGAACATGCGGCACATGGCGGCAAACTTTAAAATAGACGGGGAAGTGGGCCGTGCCAATGTGTGTGTGTGTGCGTGTGTGCGTATGTGCGTGTGTGCGTGTGTGCGCTTGCGGGGGGGGGGGGCGGGGGGCGGGGAGGGGGACATACAGAGGAACGACGGGCAGGGAAGCCGTCGCACCCCAAGAGGGCGAGGATGGAGGAGGAATCGGAGGTGCAGGAGGATGGGGGACTGGGAGAAGAGAGGAGCGGGAATAGGCGGATGATGATGAGGAGGAGGATGAGGATGAGGATGATGATGAGGAGGAGGAGGAGGAGGAGGAGGGCGACCAGAAGGGCCAGAGGCTTCTTGGATGCGTATCGGAGTCTCTGGGGATATCTCTTGGGAGTTTCCTGGAGGCCTCTTGGGGCGTCATTGGGGGCCTCGTAGCGGCCCTGAGGGGCTTTTTGGAGCGTCTCGGGTGCCTCTGGAAAACTTCTTTGGGCCTCTTGGGGCCCTCTTGGTGGCCTCTTGGGCTCCCTGGGACGCTCCAACTACCCGCCGCCCCGCCCCGTCCAGACCCAGGGGGAGGGGGTAGGGGGAGGGGTGAACCCGTCCCCGAAGGGGAAGAAGGGAAAGAGGGAAGATGGAAGACGAAACCCTCTAGATCACCTCCGCCCAGAGGGCTGGTGGGATTTACTTCCTTCCTCGCCTCCAATTCACGACCAGAATTTTCGCCACCCTATTTCGCGCCTGATTTTTCGAGCAGGATTGATCCATGAAGGCCCCAGGGGCCCGAGACGAAGCGAAAGAGCACGCATTGTTGTTTCTCACAACGCCCGGATACTGGGGTCCACGACACTTGTTTTCGTTGGGTGGGGGTCCCCCGTCGTTCTGAAGCCCATTGTTGGCTCAAATATGCCATGGCCGATGTTTTAGACGAGATCGCTGTCGCCCTGCGAGACTTGAGTGATGGCGGCGTCCCCAACGAGGATCCACTCCTCGGGCAGCTCATGCCGGCCTTGCGCCAGCTTCCCAAGGAGAAATACGTGCAGCGTGGACATCTTCTTCTGTGCCACGCTCGGATTGCATCGGGTTTTTTTCAATTGAGGTGGTGGTGCAAGGAGAGCAAAGAGGAGGGGGTATGATGGGGGGAGATGCGGCAGGAGGAGGAGGAAGAGGAGGGCAAGGGATGATCAGTTTTTTTGAACTCAACGCAGAACCCCCCTGCAAGCAAGGAAGGAGGATGACGAGGGGAGGGAGGAGGACAAGGAGGAAGAGGAGGAGGAGGAGGAGGAAGGGGAGGAGGAAGAGGAGAAGGACGAGGGGAAGAGGAGGAGGAGGATGATAAGGGGAAGGAAGGCGAGAAGGAGGAGGAGGAGGAGGAGGAGGAGGACAAGGGCGAGAAGGACGATGAGGGGGGGGAGGAGGAAGAGTAGGAGGAGGAGGAGGAAGAGGAGGAGGATGAGGAAGAGGATGAGGACGAGGGGGATGAGGAGGACGAGGATGACGACGAGGAGCGAGGAGCGAGGATGATGATGAGGAGGATGAGCAGGAAAAGGAGGATGGGGGATGGGCAGGAGGAGGAGGAGGAGGAGAAGGAGGCGGAGGAGAAGGATTAGGGCGGAGGAGTCGGAAGGGAGGAGAAGATTGTTTCTGCGATATGTTCCCAACAGGAAGTGCAAGAAACTGATTGGGAAAGCACGCCCACGTAAAGTGGCTCCGCATGTTGTTGCACGCATCGACAAGTTCCACGAGGACTACGCCATTCGCGAGAGCGACACCATCGACGTTGACGAACTGAGGCCGAAAAAAATCCGGGGGAGTGGTGTTTGGCGGTGCTGGTTGCCGCAAGCTATTCTGCGGTGTTGTTGGGGCCTCCGCCATCGACCTCAAGCCCAGGCTGCGCCCCCCCGGCATCGTCTGCGAAGCAAGAGGCCCCCGCGCAGCACTGCGCCGACTGCGGCATCCGCGCGCACATACGCCAGCTTCTTCCGCTCGAACCACACGCAGGTCATCAATGTTCGGAACGCCGTGGCGCAGCATTTCGTCAACATCCAGAGAATCCGTCTGGAGCGCGAGTGCCACCATGACCATTGGCAGCAGGTGATTTTCGAGATAGCCCTTGATGAAAGCGAGTTCAAGGTCAAACTTGATTCGAGGGACACTCTAGCATCGGTCATGGTAGTGCACGGCCGCTTGACGACCCGAAGTGGTCACTCTGTGACGTCACGCGAGCTTGTCATGGCCCCTGCAGTCGTCACGGGCACTACAACGGAGGATCTGTACGCTGCGTTGCTGCAGCGGCTGCCCATCTCCATCGACAAGTTGAAGAACGCTGCCGGCCATGGGTTTGTGGTCATACTCAACGCAGACAGTGCGAGGAGTTGCAAAAAGCTTGGCCGGCACTTGGATGCGTTGCCAGCAGTCTGCAGGATGCACCAGGCGGTTTTGGCTCTCGTGGGGCTGCTCCGACTCAGTGGAATTATGAGCCAGCTATTTTGCTCTGCGCTCCTCTTGAAGCGCCATCGTGTTCAGGCATCTCTCCGGAGCAACTTGCGGCGTTACTTGGAAATGAATCTGAAGATATTGTGGGATCCGCCGTCGCATGAGAAGCGGGCGGAAGTCGCCGCCGTATTGGATTTGATGTTGCCCTTGCTGAAAGCTCGACTGGTCGACCAGGATGAGGCTGACGCATCAAAGCGGCTTAGGGCACTTAGTCGGCTTCGCGTCTTGTTGTCTGGCCCAACCCGCGGTACTGAAGAGATGTTCCACTACTGCCCGATGGGGTGTCATGCATCGCGTGCCGCCGCGATCGACGACATCTACAACAACTTGTGCATCGTATTCATCGACAGCCCACCTGTTCCACCAGCTTGGAACAAATGGAACAAAATGTGGCCCTCCATTGCATGGTTCGCTTCCCTGCTGAATTTGGCGAGACTCTTGCCGTGCGTCTTCGGCCCACTGTTGACGCTGATCGCAGAAGAAGACTTGCAGCCGTGCGAGGAAGATCTGGTCGGCCTCGACGACCAGAAAAGCTTTCTCCGAGAAGAGCAGGTTCGGTTCAAGAAGGCCCAGGCTTTCGTCACTTCCCCGGGTATGCCAGACAAACTTCTGAGTACGTATCTGGCTATGTCACCGACGTTGCGCGTGATGGGTGCCTTTTTTACTGCTGCCAAGAGGTATGGCGAGCCGAAGGGCGGCCTGTCTATGCTGACTTTAGTCTCGAACAAGCGATCGCCCCCAGTTGCAATTATTCGAGAGTGCATTGGGATATTGCAGAATGAGGCCCACGGCCATTGGACCCCGATCATTGGCGGCGGCCGGGGCTGGTCGCAACAACTTCTGCATCTTGCGAGCGTGCCGATGCTCGTCGGCATTGGGCAGTTGCATCGCCGTTTTGTCACGGCGCTCGATTGCTGGCCCTGGCGCCTCGGCTTGTTCGCTACTGATGATTTGGACGCGGCGGGCAAGGCCAACTTGTCGACCGAGCTCCATGAGGCCGAAGAGTGCTGCTTGGATAATGTCACTGCTGCAATCCGCTCTGGCTTTGACCGTGCGAACCCGGCTGACATCCTGGGGCCCGCGGGCGTGCAGTTCATCGAAACTCTATTCCACAACGCGCCGCTCGTGAACATTGGCTCCGAAGAACGATTCGCGGCTGCATTGACGCGATGGCGCGTCATGCATGGTAGCGTCGGCGTTCCGGCAACCCTTGCCTCGGGGCACGTGTTGGCAGAATCGAAGCTGATCCTCGACGCCGAGCGCTCGCGGGCGCCTCGGTGGCGACGGCGGCCGCGGCCACGAGACAGAGGAAGGAGAGGGGGGAGGAAGGAAGTAGACACTGAGAGGAAAGGAGAGGAGGAGAGGAAGGGGGCACAGGGGATCGGACGATCGAGGGCTGCGGGGCAGGGGCAGTCCAGGGGGGTCGGAAGATTCGAATGTAGGAGAGCGCCCCAGCCCCCGACCCGACGCGGAAATATTTTCGGTGCAGGGGGGCATTTTGGGGCGAGACGGCCTCGCGAGGTGCCCGGGGCGCTCGAACTGCTCGCGACGTTCCTGGGATCCCACGGTGGCCTTGAGGGCCCTTGGAGGGCGCCGACTGGGGGCCAGCGAAGGCCACAAGATCACGGCCCATGATTGCCATTCAGGGGCGCACTGCAGGGCCCCAAGATGCCCCCCCTCCCCCGTTCCCCTCTCCGCGGTGCCCTCGGAGAGCCTCGCGGAGGCTTCAAGAGGTGTGCAAGACGTTCGAAACGGTGTTACAATGTTTCTTCTTGGGAGGGCGTGTGCATGAGCGGGGGCATTGGCGGCCGAGCCTTAATGCGTTTTGCGCGGCCCCCTCCCCCCTGATGTTCGAATCGGAGTCTGCGATCTGCCTGTTATAGCTTGCGTACATTACACACTGAGGCGGAGCCTTGCTGCCCAGGACCCAGTCTCATGCTCTTCGAAGACGCCCAAGAATACGTGGCTTCAGTATGTTCAAGAACAGCGATTGGGAGGTCGGGCAAGCTTGGCCGAGATCGGGGCTAAATGGCATGCATTACCGGAGGCGGAGGTGGCGGCAGTGGAGGCACGGCGGCAGCTTCGCCAGCAGCGCCAGCCACCCGCGCAAGTGCGCCCATCGGATTCGCGACCTGCATGGCCTCATTGCGGCGACCAGTTTTACCCGATTAGCTTAGAGAACCTGGTCGGCGTCAACCAGCGGGTGCAGGGGCTCTCCAGACAGTGGGCGAGTGCGGTTGGGGACGGAGTGGTGCGCCCTTGTGCTCGGATCCACGCCCCAGTAAAGAAGCTATGCTCTGCATTCATGGAGCGGGGATGCTGCAGGGGCAAATGCCCAGCTGCCGAATTCGGTCGTTTGATGCATTGGCAACGCTTCCTCAGAGACTGGTGCCGCCTGGTGGTGCTGAGAAACTTCAAATGGGATTCCACGTGGGATCAGCTCGGCTTCATGTACGTCGGTGCCCGAGAGGATGGCGCTCGAGGAAGCGATGATCCAGAGCCAGGGCACATCGTCGTTTGTTTGGATGCGGACATGTCTGACTTCCAGGCCGCCTTGGTGATGCATGGGCATGGTCCACCTGCGATTGGAGATATCATCGACCTGAACTTGCGCTTTGACACCTTGACAGACCACCGTACTTTTCCAAGGACCGCATTGGCGTCGACGCTAACATCGGTCGCCCGCCATGCTCGTGGTTTCGACAGTCGCCCATCGTACCACCCCATGGCATTGCCTCCCTCCTAACCCAGCCAGAAGAGGCGAGCGATGCCCTGATGTACTTGGCGAGGTTGTTTCGCAATGCACGCATACAGCCTGGAGAAACCACGTCGCCAAGAAGATCGGGGTATCGCCCGCCTTTTCGGGCTGCCGCAAGGGCGATGGTAGCCGCGGAGGCCCGGAACGACGACGAGTTGGTCACGCTCCAAATCAACTACACCCAGGTTGGCCTATTGCGGTATCGAGTTGATGGCTTGGAGGACGTGGCTGCCAAGACCGCAGAGGACTCGGCTGCTCGAGCTCGTGACCGCGAGCTGAGGAAGGCAGAGAAGATGGCGCGTGGCGAAGATGTCGTGAATGACAAGCGTCGGCGCAAGGGCTGCGCAGCTGGCGCGATGAAGAAAAGGAAAGGAGGAAAGCTGGCCGCTGGGAAGGAAGCCAAGGGAGACGGAGCGCCTGATGGCGACGCCGAGGATGGCGAACTTGAGAGTTCAGGCGGCGAGGACGCCGAGGAGAATGGCAGCTCGAATTCTGGTGACGACTACGACGACGTTGGCGGAGGAGGAGAGGAAGAGGCTGCTGGTGGCCATGCCGACGCGGGTGGCGCAGGGGGCGCCGGCGTCCACGCTGACGGGGGCGGCGGAGGAGGAGCCGGCGGCGGCGGCGGCGGGCTTCCGGCTTACATGTTCGACGAGGAGACGGGCAGGGTTACGCTGCCCGACGGGACTGCTGTGGGGCGCATTTCGATGATCAAGGTGGGGACTACGCAAGAGGCAGTGTCGATATATTGCAATTGGCACGGTTGCAAAATGATGAAGAGAGTGATTGCAGCGCCGCCGTGTCAGCCGCTCATCGAGTGGCTCGTTGCAGGGACCGCGACGCCAAAGCGACGCGGTGCTGCCGATGTACGGATGCACGAGGCATCCTTCCCAGCTGCAGGTTGATTTACAGCTTCAATTTTGAGCCGTAGCATTTTCGTTGCGCAACGTGTCCCAGATCTAGATTGCCACGTGGCCCTGTTTATGTGCGCCCCAACCTGGAGCGTTGAGTCCCGCAGTTATGAGTCGAGAGCATCGGGCGAAACGTTTTTCATGTGCCACGGATTGACGCGTGGCCAGGGCAATTCCAATTCCCCTTTCCCAAAACGGCGGTAGCAAAGTAAAGGGCGTGGCGGGGTCACGGGGGGGGCCGATCCGCAGGCGCGCTTCTCTCAGAGCGAGGCCGCGCGCGGCAGCGCGGCCGTCGGAAGGGCGACGGCCATTGCCATTGCCCATTGCCTTGCCAGAATGCATGATTCATGATTCCATGATGTTTCGGGCGATGCTTGCACTGTGCTTGGCGTCGCACTGCCCGCCATGCTGCATCGTACTAGTGGGGCTAGTGGTTGGGATTGGCATTGGCTCGCGTGGCAGTGTCGCAGAACGTGCGATGATCATCCTCTCCCTCCTCCTCCACCTCCTCCTCCTCAACATCCTCGTGATCGCGCTGACTTTGTTCAACATCTGTCAGCTGCTCGACCTTCGCGCCTCTGGCCACAGGCGCTATTTCTTTGACCGTCACCCGGTGGCAGCTAGAGATTTGGCCAGGGCCTCGTGAGATCTCGTCGCACTGTGTCGGAGAGTATCGGACGCGGTATTCGTCATCTGTTCGACTCCACCTTTGCTTGGCCTGTGTTTCTGGTGTGGCGCGTTTGTCAGTGGCGCATTTCTTTTTGTAGGACGAGGAGCCGGAGGAGGAGGAGGAGGAGGAGGAGGAGGACGCGGATGGGGGATGCGGATGGGGGCGGCGGAGGAAGAGCAGGAGGAGGAGGAGGAGGAGGAGGAGGAGGAGGAGGAGGAGGAGGAGGATTGTCTCGGCTGTCTTTTAAGGGCGGCACGGGTAAAGTAAAGTGTTACCGTTTCGTGCCCTAACAAAAGGGAGCATGACCTGTTCAACTACATGGCAATGTGAATCTCTCTACTGATGTTCGTGCCCGGCGTAGGTACCAACAAGCGGGCCGATATTGCTACAATCCCCCGCGGGCCGAAATTGCCACAATCCCCCGCGGGCCGAAGCCCCCTATGCTCCAGGGGGGAGGTGGGTGGTGATGCGAGCGCAGAATGGCGTGGATCAGTCGGTGCCGCTTGGCCGCGCCCGTGGGGTCGCTGAAAGCCGAAATTTCCTTATGCGCGGCCTGCGGGCCCGCGCGGGCCCGTGCGGGCTCGCTCGCGCGGGCCCCGTTCTCGCGCAGGCCGTGCATAAGGAAATTGTCGACTTTCCTGGGCCGCAGCGGCTTCCGATCTTAAGTCGCTCCGCGGGGGGATGTTTGGCTTTGGGCCGAAGGGTGCTCTGGTCCCCTGGGGCCGAAGTTGCTCGTGACCCCTGCGGGCTGTAATTGCTACATTCCCCCGCGGGCCGAAATTGCTACAATCCCCCGCGGGCCAAAATTGCTACAATCCCCCGCGGGCCGAAATTGCTACAATCCCCTTTCAGGGTCGCCCCTCGTGTGGTCCGTCGCATTGAGCTCAAGTCAGCTCTTCAAGAGCTGGGCATAGTCTCAGGGGCGCTCTTGGAACCATATTGAGAGAGATCGATCAGAGGAGGGGGGTGGGGGTATTTTTTAATAGCGCTGCGTATTCGAGCCCCTGTCCTCGCCTCTTGGGCTCCATAGAGGAGCCCTTATTGGGCTCCAAGAGGGCCCCAAACTGGCATACAAGTGGTATAAAAACACATGACGCATGTCACATGACTCCTGATCCTGGTTGCATGCCACTTTTATGCCGCTTTCGGGTGGGCCCCAAGACGGCATCGAGACGGCCCAAAAGAGCTTCAAGGCAGCCCAAGAGGGCCCCAAGAGGAGCCCAAGACGGGGACTTCTTCCTCCTCCCCCTCCTCCTCCTCCTCCTCCTCCTCCTCCTCCTCCTCCTCCTCCTCCTCCTCCTCCTCCTCCTCCCCCTCCCCCTCTCAGCGGGGGGCCAATCGACACCCCCTCTCAGCGGGAACCTAATCGACCCCCCCCTCATAAGGGGAACCTAATCGACCACCCCTCTCAGCGGGGAACTAACCGACCCCCCTCGTAGCGGGGTCCTTCCTCCTCCTCCTCGTCCTCCTCCATTTCCTCCTCCTCCGCCTGCTGCTCCTTGTTCTGCATGCCCGACCCCGTCGGGGGGCAATTGCGCTCCATTCGCTGCGTCGCCCGTTTTGGCTCAAACAGGTTGCGAGTCCAAGGTGCGCAATACGTTGGCTCTCCATGGCCATGGATGCTGCTGCCGCAGGGGAAGTGCACGTCGCAGCCGGCGCCGTTCCCCCTCCACCGCATTTGCCATCGAAGGGGCGGAGGCAGTGCCCCATATGCAAAGCGAACCCTTTGACTAGCCAGCACAAACAGGATTGCGGTCGCACGGAGACGACGCACGGCGAGAACGTATTCGTGAGCTATTTCGACAGGAAAAAACTAGGGCGAGCGTTCACGAAGATAGGACTGGAGGCCAGGGAGGCCATGTCTGACCAGCCCAATCAGCCGACGATGAAATCCGTTCACTACGGGTGGAACACTGACCTGAAGAGCCTGAACCCTGGCACCGCCGATATCGGCGAGGCAGCGTACGATCTCATGCGCAAGATGATCATGTCCAGCTCCTTGTTGTGGACCATGACATTGCACGGTGGGGGGGTTGCACATTGTGTGTACGACGACTTGCGCGACGTTAAGGACAACTTGCGCAAGGACTGCACCGTGCAGGTCATCATGTCACGAGACCGCGAGGACGAGGTGTTCCCGGCCCACAGCCCGCCGAAGCAGGTGGCCGCATTGGTTGGCAAGGATGGCTGCGACAAGACCTGCGAGATCTGCAAGAATGACGGCTGCCCCAATTGTCCGCATTGCTGCCTCACCTTTCTCTCGTCGGCGAAAGGGCTGAGCATCGTGGCAGGCAGCCAGGGCGCGCATTGCCCCCGCAAGGACGTATGCTACGCCATCATCGGTGACGTGGTCGTGCCGATGAAGGTTGGATTCATCGCGAGCTTCGACCACAGCAAGGTGCCTTTCGGGGTGTGGAAGCCCGCTGGCGGGTGGCCGATGTTCGACCTACTCGAAGTGGTGCTGTCCAGCAAGAGCTTGGATTACCAGGTGCCGCGGCCCCCCGCCCAGAAGATGTCGCGCGTCATCCTGGATGGCGACTCCGAGGAGGGGGCCGCCAGCGACGGAGAGAGCTCATTCTACGAGGACACGTCGGAGTGATTTGCCTGTCGGCGCTGAGTACATACTGTTACATACTAGGCGAGCCACTGCCGCAGGAGGGCCTTCCTCTGGCTGTCAGTCGGAGTCGAGGTGCGCGCAACGCATCGAAGCGAGTTTTCAACGCTCAGAGGTTCAGAGTTTCGGGCCAGGCTGCAAATACGAATCACCAGACTCATTGGGGTATCGTTTTCCGAACTATAGATTTCGAATGATGATGGTTTCTGAATCTCAGCTGTTCTTTCATTCTTATGTTCCGAACTGATGACTTTATGTTCACTAAATCTGGTTTTATGATACATAAATCTCTTTTTATGATCATTAAACTAGATTTTAAGAACATAGTGGGGGTGGTTCGTTTTTTCAAGCCGTTCAGAAATCGATGCTTCAGATTTTCTGTGCGCTGCAACAAACTCGGTTCAGATTTGGCGCGCTCTGCAATGCCGCAGTGCCGATGCTCGTTGGGACATCAGTTGCTTCTCGACTTGGGCGGCCGGGACAGAGCGCGGGCCACTTGACTGCACTATCTGGGTACAATCTGGGTACAGCTTGTCCATCCATCCATCCGTCCATCCTCCTCCTTCGCCTCCTCCTCCTCCTCCTCCTCCTCCTCCTCCTCCTCCTCCTCCTCCTCCTACTCGTCCTCCTCGTCCTCCTCCTCCTCCTCCTTGCTCCTCCTCTTCCCCCTCTCAGCGGGGTCCTACGCAATCAATCCCTCCGCCCTGGGGGGAGTGCCCCAGGAAGCACGGGCAAATCAACGCAAACCCAAGTCCGGAGCCCACGGGGGCGCCCGGAAAACTGGGCGCCCCCCAGCTCTTCGACGTTGTTGATCTCGTCGGGCCACGGGCCGACGAGCGATTCGTCCTCTGTACCTTACCTCTCGGCGGGGGCCTAATCGACGCCCCCTCTCAGAGGGAACCTAATCGACCCCCCTCGTAAGGGTCATGGAACCTAGTCGACCCCCCTTTCAGCGTGGACCTACTCGACCCCCCTTGTAGCGGTGTCTTTCCTCCGCCTCCTCCGCCTCCTCCTCCTCTCCCTCCTCCTCCTCCTCCTCCTCCTCCTCCTCTCCCTCATGTCCCTGTTCCTCAGGTCTTTGATGATCTCAGCGAGTGCGGGCCTCCCATAGACGTGGACCCCCGTTATTTGAATATGCCTATACTCTATACTAATGTATTATATGGCTCGGTAGGGGTCCTGTCTCCGTGGGTTTTTGCTGCTTTTTGGCTGCCAATCCACAGGCCCCCCACCGATCCCATCGTTCACCGAATGTTTGCCCCACCCTTGGGGCAAACAATTTGTGAATGTCCACGGGCCCTCGCCAGGCGACCGTTTAGATTGCCACGAGTGCGTGCCGGGCGACTGTTTCAAGTTGCCACAATCCTGACTCATTCCCAGGTTCTGCGGCGCCCGCCGCTGCTGCAGGAGTGCCGTTTCACCGCAATCGTGTCGTCGTCGTGTCTGTCGTTGTCGTCGTCGTTTTCTCTTTGAGGACTTGGCCCCCACGCGCGGGCCTCGCCACCAGTCAGAGTCAGAGTCAGAGTCCTCCTCTCCCTCCTCCTCCTCCTCCTCCTCCTCCTCCTCCTACTCCTCCTCATCCTCCTCGTTCTCCTCCTCCTCCTCCTCCTCCTCCTCCTCCTCCTCCTCTTCCTCCTCCTCCATGTTCCATGCCCGACCCCGTGGGGCGGCAATTGTGCTCCATTCGATGCGTCTGGGAGGGTTGGCCCGAGGGCCAGGAGGCCTGCTGGGGACTTCCCCTGGTCTTCCCAGAGGGGGGGGGGGCGAGGGGGAAGCTTCGCAAGTTCCGCAGTTGAGCCCCCTTTATGGGGCCGCATTGACGCGGCGAGGGCCCCTGAAAGGGCCGCGGGAGGGGCCCTGCTCGTTAAAGGCAAGTTGCTGAAAGCATCATATGAATCATATGATATGATTATGATATGATATGGGCCGATGGGCAAGGCCAGGCTTCAAATGGGCCTTGCGAGGGGGTCGTGCGTTCAAACGCTCAAACTATGTCTGGCGGGGGGGGTGCTCCAACGCAAACATCATGTTATGACTTGTTGAATAACTGAACATGCTGCAAGAGTTTTGGCTGACAGCCGCAGGGTGCTGCACTCGTGCCTTGAGACGCCTCACGTCGGCCGCCCTTGGCGCTGGCCGCCCGCTGCCATGCCGCCCAGCCAGAGCGACACGAGCAGCAGGAAGAGCAAACGAACTTCTTGCGATGTTGTCCAGAAGGGCCCGACGATGATCGACGGCAAGCTGTTCCTGCGCATCGTCCGCTGCCAGCTGTGCTCGCTCACGAACTCCGACGCCAACCCAATTCATAGTGGTAAACTCGGGCGAGATGTCAACGAGTTTGTCGTCTGGAACCGCGGCTCCAGCGAGGATCCATTGGGGCCGCGCGACAAGCTGTGCGTGATGGTTTTCACTTACGGGGGCTTCGCCGCGGAGCACGAGAGTATCGACAAGTTCTTGGAGGCGAGAAAGGCATCCACTCAACTGCAGAAGGAGTGGCAGGCAGCTTATGATGCTATGAAGACCCACATGGAGGCCTGCGCGGCTGGATCAAAGATGGGCAAGATCCTCGCTGCGGCCATGGAGGGCCGCGTGCACGACGCCAGGAAGAAGGTTGTGGAGGCATTCAAGACAGCTTCCCAGACAGTCAGGACGCCTTACCGGGCCGTCGACGCGGCGAAGTACGAGAAGGAACACCCAGGGAAGATAGAGAAGGAGGGCCTCGTAAAGAAAAAGATACACACGGACGAAGGCCAAAAAGAAGTTGTCTACATACGGAAACTACCAGAGGGCGAATGGGATGTATTTTACGACGAGGTGATCGGCGTGGAGGAGCGTGAGGAGCATGATGATGGATCTGTCCAACTGCGTGGTTCCCAGACGCGGTCAAAATTGTTGTCGCTTCGCGAATCCCCACCAGCCCATCCAGAAACGATGCCCAGAGGAATTGCCTCGATCAGAGAAGTGGGCAGCACACAGAGGAAGCCATTATGAGACATCTTGGGATATCTTGAGCCATCTTGGAGGTCATTTTGGGCTCTCCCAGACGCTCTTGGAGTCATCTTAATCCGTGCCCCCCCCCAAGAGGCCTCCATGTGGCTAAAACCTGTGTAGAATCAATGATTAGGCATTCTCGCCGAGGCCTCTTGGAGCATCTTGGGTGCATCTGGGGGGGCTCTTGGGGCCTCTTGGGGGTCTCTTGGGGGCCTCCGGGGGGCCTCTTGGGGGCCTCTTGGGGCCATTTTGGGGCCATCTTGGGACCTCTTGGGGCTTCCTGGGCGCTTCTTGGGGCCATCTTGGAGGAGATCGATCAAACAAGAGGGGGGGTTTAATTAGCGTCCCCCCTCGGAAGCCCCTAAAATCGCCTCTTGGACCCCTCTTGGAACGCTCTTGGAGTGCTCTTGGGCGCTCTTGGGGCCGTCTTGGGGCTCTTTTGGGGCTCTCTTGGGGCCCTCTTGGGCCATCTTGGAACCATCTCCAGGCCTCGGATGGCCATCGGAAGCGAAAAGGCGAGAAAGCAAAAATCATTGATTTTCCTTAGGTTTTGGGACGATTTTGGCCTCTTCGGGGCCTCCTTGGGGAGCTGTTTGGCCACTTGGAGTTATCTTGGGGCCGTCTTTGGGCTTCTTGGAACCATCTTAGGAGCCATCTCGAGCGATCTTGCGCTATCTTGAGCCATCTTGGAGCTCATCTTGGGTTCTCTGAGGCGCTCTTGGAGCCGTCTTGGGCCATCTGGGACGCTCTAACTACCCGCGGCCCCCCCCGTCCAGGTCCAGGGGAGGGGGTAGGGGGAGGGGTAAACCCCTCCCCAAGGGGGAAGAGGGAGGGGTGGAAGAGGATCTGCTCTAGACCACCTACGCCCAGAGGGCTGGTGGGATTCAACATGTTGGCTTCCTCCACTAGGCTTTCTGCTGACGACCGGAAGGGTCTGGCAACCGAATGCGAGCCGACCAAGAGCGTCGATGAAGGCGGCGGCGACGGTGTACCCGCTCTTGACGAAGAAAGCGACGGCAAAGATGATGGCGTGGACCCCATGGATTGGTGTCGGAGCAGTTTGTTCGACGACCTTGTCTCCGCGCCGCAGAAGCCGCCCCCCGCCAAGGCCCCGCAGGGGAAGCCGAAGGTGTCGCAGCCCAAGGGGTCTTCTGGCAGTGCTTCGTCGGGGGGAGCTTCCACATTGGCAGCCACCACGCTTCAGCCCCACCGCCCCGCGGACGATGGCAACGGCGGACAGCAGTCAGGGCCCCTGCCATCGGTGCCCCGAAAGTTCCAAGGCAAATCGCCAGAGGATATCTTGGCGAAGTACAACTGGGTGGACCTGGACGCTCAACTCATTGCCCTGGAGGAGAAACTGAGCTCGGCTGACCTGGCCGGCCGTCGCCAGGGAGACGAAGTCGCGACGACGTTGTCGACCATGAAGAAGCAGGCGCACTCGGTGCACAAAGCCATGGTCGCCTTGGATATTAAAGTCCAGAAGTGGACGGGTACCCCGCCAGGTGTTACCGACCTGCTGAAGAAGAAGCGAGGGCGCGCGAAGGTCATCCTCGACGCCGCCTTGGCCTTCTCTGCCACGGGGAAGCATCTCGACGCCACGAAGATGGAGACCGCCAAGGCTGAGATGGCAACGGAGAAGATGACGATTCCTGGCGCATTCCATTTAACCTTCTTTAAAGAGAAGAGCTTGGACTTCATCCGCTTCCGGTGCATGGGCGAGTTCATCGACTTCATCGGCGGGGAGGACAGCTACTTGAAGGAATCGTTCTTCGCGCCATCTACTGTGGACTTGCGGTCTGTACGGGCTGACGTTGTCTCCAGTGGCTTGCACATGCTCGTGTCTGGATGCGCTGAGGGCGACGAGGAGGCCATCAGCGAGATGCGTGCGTTCGTGAAGCAACTCACCGAACTTGAAGACAACTTCCCCAATACGTTCGAGTCGCATGCGTGTGGAGACCTGAAGACCCTCGGCATTGCGCTGACCACCGAGAGCACGACGTCCGCCCATGAGGACGCGATCGCCAAACTGTCGAGTATCACTGCGAACGACGACTACGCCGGCATTCTACGTGAAGCCATCGACGCGGGGGCGTGGTCTAAGTTCTTGGACAATCTTACTACGGCGAGGACGGTGACAGCGAACATCTCGCAAGCCATCGCCAGAGTGCAAGGTCACGTTGCGAAGTTCGGGGAGCCAGCCTATACTAGAGATGCGAAGGACAGGGCGGGCGAGCTAACCGCAATTGCCATGGGCCATGGGCCATGGGCCATGGGCCATAGCCCGTGGGCCCGTAGACCCGTAGGCCATGGGCGGGCCTACGGGCCATGGGCCATGGCCCGTAGGCCCTGGCCAATGGGCCAGCCTCAACTTATTGGTTATGCTACCATGTTGTGAATATAATATATGATATGTCTGTATGTTGTATGTATGTATGTATGCAAGTATATGATACTGTATTGTGTATTATGCATATAGTTATGATGTATATGTGCGCTGTTAAACTTATCTGTTCATGCATGCATTTTGATTTACAAGAGAACGAAACAAGCACCACGTCCTATTAAATTTATTTGACTCGGTGGATTGAACGGGAGACCCACGTCGCTTCCCTTCCAAATTCTCTTCCAGGATGAGTTCTACAAGGACTTTGCGGCGATGGTCATCATATGCGTGGACATGGGCGGCGACGACTGCCCGCGGGGCCAGATGGATCGGCTGTTACAATCGATTACACTGCAGGCTCGGATGCGACAAATCGGAGAGGCCCGGTGCCCACATTGAGAAGTGCCCGCGTCGTGTTATCGCCAGACGCTGCGAGCGCGCGCCGGCGATAACATGACCGGGCAAGGCTTCTTAATGTAGGCGTCATTCTGCTCTCCGCCACACCGGGCGCATCCGAGCCCGCGGCAGGTTCAGCACGGGGCCACCCAAGTTGCAGGCTTTGTCGAGGAGGCCCTGCAGATTCTTGTATCTGTGAAGTCCAAGTCGCTAATGCCGTTGGAGGCCCACAGTTCTTTGGAATCTTTGAAATTGGCGGCCTGTGGCGCTGCGACGCAGTTCCAATTCAACTCCGCAGACCTCCTAAAGCACGTTGCCCAGCAGAAGGTCCATCAGTTCATGGAGAACTTCGCCGTCGCGGAGGGCTGGGCCAACAATCTAGCCAAGTGCTCGAAGATGATCGAGATCGTATCAGAGCTCCTGCAGCTTCGGAAGGTCGTTTGTGACCTTATGACTCAGGCTACAGATGAGATTTTGGTTGCCATGGTGGACAAATTCAACTGCATCCACTCCCTGCTGTCGGACCCGCGCGTCCAGCAGACCAACCTGACGGACTTGGTGAAGGCCCTGGAGAACGAATGCGGCGTTGGCGAGCTCAGCGCCAAGCTGTACCGCGACGGCTTCGCCAAGTTTCAAGTCCAGTGCAAGGCGTTTGTGCAGCTTGGGCTCGATTGCTTGGGAGGCGCAGCGAACGCTGGAGAGGTGGAAGGGCAAGCCAAGGTCATCAGCGACCTAGCTTTCCAGATGCTCCAACGATCGTCGGCGTCGGCGACGCCGATCATTCACAGAGCGGCAATCGACTTCTTCGCCAACCATGTCACTCTGCTGTGCTGCAGGGTGCCCGAAATCATTCGACTGAAGACGAAACCACCTTCCGACTACGTCGTCGACTCCAGGTTCAAGGCGTCGCTCGAGGCGGCGTTGAACGCAGAGGACTCGAAGCCCAAGCTCCAGCCAATCATCGCAGATATGAGCGACAAGTTCTTGGACATGCTGGCGAGCTTCAAGAACATCCTGGCCCCCGTGGAGATGAAGTTCAACGCTGTCGTGAACAAGCGGTTGACCGCGGGCATTAACAAACTGAAGACGCTCCTCGTTGACGACGAGACCGAGGATGACGTTATCTACAAGAAGTTGACGACATCCAAGGTGGACGCCATGAGGAAAATTCGCCGGGAGCTACTGGAAGCTTCCGAGCAGAGCAAAGCAGGCGGGGCGTCGACAAGCGAGGCAGTGGTGGCCGATGAGCTCGCCATCCAGGCTCGCCTGCAGAGCGTCCGTTTCGGCTTTCTCGCCTTCCTGAACGCACCTCATATCCACTCGCAGGGGGAGGAGGGTTCCAAGATCCGCAAGAACTTGAAGAGCATATGGGACATGTCGCAGGGTGATGATATCCTACAGTACTTGGCCAAGTACAGCTCGAAGTCAGTGGAGGAGATCAAAGTGCTGGTGGACATGGAGTCGACACCTGCAGCAGGGGCGCCGAAGGGTCGCGTAGCGGCCAAGAAGCGGGCCGCAACCTCGGCGCCCGGAGATCCCCCGAAGGCGAAGAGGAAATGTTGAAATGATGGCACGATGTTCATGGCGGCTTGAGAGGCCGGCGAGGTTTGCGAGGCCCGCTTTTACAGAATACGAGTATTTGCCAGAGGCGGGCTGGCGTTTAGCAATTTTGGTTAGATATTGTGATATTGTCCGTCGGCTCTCGGTTGCCCTGTGGATTCTGCATCGCAAAGGGGTTTGCGAAAATGCAATGGTTCCAAGGTTCCTTTGGCCGCGGGGTCGAGCTGCGCATCTGGACAAACCGAACCACTGGGGCCAATCCAGGAAACTAGATCTCACTGGTCCCCTGCCCTCCTCGGCCGCATATCCCTGCCGTGATAATGCGAGGGCGAGGGTGGAGGTTGGCCAAGGGCGAGGACGAATGGGGGGGGATACCGACTCGTTCCGTAGTTTCCTATCAAGCTTCGCACGGGATCTCCACATACTGAAATGGCACCCAAGAAACGCCCGGCCGCTGCAGATGCCTCGCCGGGGATCCCCGACGCGAAGCGTCAGTCCAATGACATGCAGCAGGAAGAGGAGACCCCCATCGTGAAGCGCAAGCCAAGCGGCAAGCAGGACGATGCCTTTGCCGGGACTATCCTAGCCCATGCGGTGCAGCACTACAAGTCCGTAATGAAGCCCGACTGTAAAGCCCAATTCGATGAGAACTTATCTAAGAAGATTGTGATGGGGTCAGCGTGCACAGGCACGGGAACGGCTGAGGTGGTGCACGCTTGCCTACATTCCCAAGCACGCGAACCAGCCATCGTCCAATACGGGTGCGAGCAAGTACCTTTCAAGCGCGAGTTCTACAGCACCGTGGTCGGCCCGTGCTTGAGTGGCGAGGCTTGCGTCTTCCACGACTTGCATGACATGGCCAAGGGCGCCAGCAAGTGCGACGCGCATCGCCAGCAGTGTCTTGTCCCTACCTCGGGCGTTGACATTTTTCCCTGCGGGTTCTCGTGCAAGGACCTCTCCAACATGAACAACGTTGTAAGTGGTGAGTGGTTGACCCGAGTTTTGGAGCAGGGTGCCGGCACCAGCGGTGGCACTTTCAGATCGATGATGCGCCACATCTCGCGCACGAAGCCACGCGTTGCCATTCTGGAAAACGTCGAGGCCATAGAGGTGATGGACGACGAGGGCAACATGCGGAACATCGACTTCTTGTACACCGCGTTTGAGAGCATTGGGTATCGCTTGCTGCACCGCACCCTCGACGCGACCTCGTACGGGTTACCGCAGGGCCGCAGGCGGGTGTTCGTCATCGCTGTTCTCCACGCAGCGCTTGACCTGACTGCGCAGGATACCGATCAGAAGCTCAAGGATGTCTTCGATTTGGTTACAGGCCCTTTCCAATTCAAGATGTGGCCGGCGAAGAAGTTCCTGCTCGACAGTGAGCGCCCTCGCGTGAAAGATGAGATCGAGCGCCGTTTCGCGGCCGCGGGTTCGGAGGGGAGCAATCACCAGTGGCCGTCCTTCCACAAGGAGTTCCTCAAGGGCAAGGGGCTCAGTCTCAGAGACTGCGTTGCGAGCCTGGCACTGCAGGCGAACCCATGGTACCAGAGCCTCTGCAGGCGCTCCAAGCAATGCCTGACGTACATGTTGGCGCACGGGAACAAGGGCGAGCAGAGTCTTACATCAGTGGACCTGTCCCAGCGCATCGACCGAATGCCAAAAGGATTCGACGGCATCTTCGCGACGCTCACGCCGAAGGCGGACACGTGGATCGTCGACTTGCAGAGGCTACTCGTGGGGTTCGAGTCCCTCGCTTTGCAAGGCTTCCCCATGAAGCTCATCGAGAACGCCGCCAATTTGACGACCACTGACCCACAATTGGGGGACCTCGCGGGAAACGCCTTTCCTTCCACCGTGTTCGGCGCCGTCTATGTCGCAATCCTCGGCATCTTCAGTTTCAAGGACCGCCCGGAGCACGAGGTGGCGGACCTCGACAAAGTGATGGACTTCTTCAGTTGAGTGGCCAGCGGCAGTCTTGCTCGGGCCTTCCATATAGACAGTAAGGCCGATGTTCCACACAGCTGTCATTGTGAAAATCATGGTTGTGCAATGTGGTCCCAGATTCGTGAATTATGGACGCTTCGCGTGCCCCCCGCAACCCACCCCAAACACATGCCAACATGCCACATGCACATGCCCATGAAGGGCCGGGGAAGCCGCCGTGCCCCATGAGGATGATGATGTATGAGTGTGTCATGAGGACTCGGAGGACTCGTCGTCGTCGTAGTCGTCGTCGTCGTCGTCGGAGGAGGAGGAGGAGGGGGAGGAGGAGGAAAAGGAGGAGGAGTAGGAGTAGGAGGAGGAGGAGGAGGAGGAGGAGAAGGAGTGGGGTGAGGAGGAGAAGGAGGAGGAGGAGGAGGAGGAGGAGGAGGAGGGAGGACGAGGAGGAGGAGGGGGGAGGAGAAGAGGAAGGGGAGGACGACAAGGAGGAGGAGGAAGGAGGAGGAGGAGGGAGGAGGAGGATGCGGATGGGGGAGGCGGATGGGGGCGGCGGAGGAGGGGCAGGAGGAGGAGGAGGGGGAGGGGGAGGAGGAGGAGGAAAAGGAGGGGTGGAGGAGGAGGGGGAGGAGGAGAGGAGGAGGAGGAGGGAGGAGGAGGGAGGAGGAGGAAGAGGGGGAGGGGGATGGGGGATGGGGGAGGGGGGGGGAGGGGGGTGGAATCGGAGCTCAGGAAAAAGAACTTAACACATTTAACGCCGCTCTGGCCCAAAAGTGGACGTGGGACCATTTGTCGCCAGCCCCCCCTGGGCCACCAATGGTCACTCGAGGAGGAGGAGGAGGAGGAGGAGGAGGAGGAGGAGGAGGAAGAGAACGGGGAGGAGGAGGAGGAGGAGGAGGAGGAGGATAATGAGGAGGATACTGAGGAGGAGGAGGAGGAGGAGGAGGAGGAGGAGGAGGAGGAGGAGTGGTAGGAGGAGGAGGAGGCGGAGGAGGAGGAGGAGGTAAGCTGCTAACTTGCAGATATGTTGTGGTACGACTTCCGTACCAGAAGACATGCTGCCGCCGCTTGCTATCACCGTTATGTTGGGGGCCTCTTGGGGGCCTCGTGGGGCCTCCTGGGCGCCTTTGGGGCATGGTCGGGAGTCTCAGGGGCGCTCTTGGAACCATATTGGGAGAGATCGATCAGAGGAGGGGGGTGGGGGTATTTTTAACTGGCGCTGCCCATTGGAGCCCCTGTCCTCGCCTCTTGGGCTCCATAGCCAAGCCCTTATTGGGCTCCAAGAGGGCCCACAAGCGGCATAAAAGTGGCATAACAAGCACATGACTATTGATCCTGCGTTCATGCCGCTTTTATGTCGCTTTCGGGTGGGCCCCAAGACGGCCCAAGAGGGCCTCGAGACGGCCCAAGAGAGCCTCAGGACAGCCTACGAGGGCCCCAAGAGGAGCCCAAGACGGGGACCACTGACCGAATATTCTAGCTTTCCGCTCCATAAAGCAACCAGGAAGCCCCAAGAGGCCCCCAGAAACCCCAAGAGGCCCCCAAGAGGCACCCAAGAGATCCACACATAGTTCCAAAACCGCTGCCCAGAGGCCTCCGAACTGCCTCCAGCAGGCCCCCAAGGGGCTTCTCACGAGAACCCTAGCGGCGGGATAGGCCGAAAGCTAGCAGAGGCCTCCGAAAAGGTCATTGGAAATCGCATCCGTTTCGGGCAGTCTTCCCAAACACAGAAGGGCCGACACCCAACACTGAAATGCAAACGGCCGATGTAAAGAAAAGGGGCTCGGTAGAGGAACGAAGCCCCCCTTGATCCATACGATACCTAGCGTACAATACCATGTATACCTACCATACCATGCCATACCTGACTGGGTGGGGGTCGAACAACTTCTCTGGGAGCCAGAAAACTCGGATCGTGGACTCCGAATCATGTGATGTTTGTCGTTCGATTTCTGAATCGTCAGATTTACGAGAAGGCCGAATTCGGAACCACTGATTTCTGAACCGCCCGATTTCCGAATCATGCGAACTTAACCTACATGCGGGTTATGTTTTTCCATATCATGCGAAATGAACCTATGTGCGGGTTGGTTCTTTCCGAATCATGCAACATGAACCTACGTGTGGGTTTGCTCTAGAGATAAGGCTTTCAATCCTGCCAAATGATGATGATGATGATGATGATGATGATGATGATGAGGGTGAGGGTGAGGGTGAGGGTGAGGGTGAGGGTGAGGATTGAGAAGGAGAGAGGAGGGGGAGGAGGGGGGGAGGAGCGCGGGAGGTGAGGTGAAGTGAGATGCGGGGCGCTGTTTCCTCATACAGAGGACCGAACACCACAGGATGGTTTGGAAAATCAGCAGTCACACGGATGCATGGCGCCCACGCCGCGGCATCTTAAGATAGAATTGGTATTTGTTTTGAAACATGTTTGTTCCGACATGGTATTTGCAAAGCAGTTGAGGGTTTGGTTTTGGTGCGAACTTCAGCTGAGTGCTTTGAGACGTTTGTCAGAGTTGATCAACATCGCCGCCCTAAATCTGCTTTGAACAACGCATTGGAGGGTGTTGTTCAGAGCAGGTGAGGGGCTCATTTCGATGCGAGCCTCAGTTCACGGCCTCTTCGCTGTCAAAATCGGGTTCTTGTTTTTGCACCGCGCGCGCCTTCGAAAATCCGCAGTTACAAGGACTGACGACGCCCACGCCGCGACATTGTAAACTATAAGCCTTTACTCGTTTGGCACATTTCTTTCCCAATGGTATTTTTTAAATGAACTCCGGGTGTGGTTCCAGTGCCAACGTCGGTCGCGGGCTCTACGAATTTGAACCACGAGGAGCGTCAGAAGGCCAATGCTGCCCCCTAGATGTCCACCGAGAGCCTTCAGACATTCCGGGGTCGGCCTCAGGCGGCCCAACAAGCCCCCAAGATTCCCAAGGGGAGCTTCAAAGGGAACGCATTATCCTTTACAGACTAATTGTCGAACACTTGTCCGACTACAGCCAGAGTTCGCCGGACGCTTCAGACAACAACCAGAGATTGCTAGAACCTGGGCGCGCGCGAAGTGCAAGCGTGGCTCTAGTGTGCACACAGAAAGGGATAGTGAGAGAGAGCGGGAGAGACAGAGAGAGAGAGATAATGAGAGGGAAAGAGAGCGAGAGAGGGTAGATAAAGAAAGAGAGAGAGAGAGAGAAGGAAAGAGAGAGAGAGAGACAATAAACAAATATATAGACTCGGATAGTGACTCGTGAGCTGAAGGAAGAGATAGAGATAGAGAGAGAGGGCCATGACGTTGTCTGCCCAGGCTCCAGGTCTGGGCGAACACATTTCAGACGGCCCCCGAGGCCTGCACGTGGTGCGCCACCAGAGGGGAGGGTGAGGCGGGAGAGGCAGGAGCGCCGCCCCCGGCGGAAAGGTTCTGCTGGACGAGCCGACGAACCACCTGGACGAAGAGTCCGTGGCGGGCCGTGGGCCGTGGGGGCTTCAGCGGAGGACGTGGATGCTGTGATGTCGATGCTGCTGCTTCTGAGGAGGAGGAGGAGGGGGATGGCTTGGCATCGCTTGGACGTGCGCGCTTCTTTCCTCGGCGAGGACCCTCGGCGAGGACCATCGGGTAGCATCCTGAACAACCTGGAAAACAGGCACGAAACCGAAGCATGCACGGGCAATGGACGTCCGAACGATGGCACGATGATGATGATGATGATGTTGATGTTGATGATGATGATGATTATAATGATGATGATGATGATGCTGATGATGATGATGATGCTGATGATGATGATAATGATGATGGTGGTGGTGATGATGATGATGATGATTATTATCATTATAATGATGATGATAATGATGATGAGGGGGAGGGCGAGGGTGAGGGTGAGGATGGAGAAGGAGGAGAGAGGATGGGGAGGAGGAGGGGGAGGAGTGCGGGAGGTGAGGTGAAGTAAGATGCGGGGCGCTGTTTCCTCATACAGAGGACCGATCACCACAGGATGGTTTGGAAAATCAGCAGTCACACGGATGCATGGCGCCCACGCCGCGGCATCTTAAGATAGAATTGGTATTTGTTTTGAAACATTGTTGTTCCGACATGGTATTTGCAAAGCAGTTGAGGGGTTGGTTTTGGTGCGAACCTCAGTTGAGCGCTTTGAGACGTTTGTCAGAATTGAACAACATCGCCGCCCTTAATCTGCTTTGAACAACGCCTTGGAGGGTGTTGTTCAAAGCAGGTGAGGGGCTCATTTCGATGCGAGCCTCAGTTCACGGCCTCTTCGTTGTCAAAATCGGGTTCTGGTTTTTGCATCGCGCACACATTCGAAAATCCGCAGTTACAAGGACTGACGACGCCCACGCCGCGACATCGTAAACTATAAGCCTTTACTCGTTTTGACAAATTTCTTTCCCAATGGTATTTTTTAAAATGAGCTCCGGGTGTGGTTCCAGTGCCAACGTCGGTCGCGGGCCCTACGAATTTGAACCACGAGGAGCGTCAGAAGGCCAATGCTGCCCCCTAGATGTCCACCGAGAGCCTTCAGACATTCCGGGGTCGGCCTCAGGCGGCCCAACAAGCCCCCAAGATTCCCAAGGGGAGCTTCAAAGGGAACGCATTATCCTTTACAGACTAATTGTCGAACACTTGTCCGACTACAGCCAGAGTTCGCCGGACGCTTCAGACAACAACCAGAGATTGCTAGAACCAATGATTATGATGATGTTGATAATGCAGATGATGATGAGGTTGATGGTGATGGTGACGATGATGATGACGACGGAGACAATGATGATGCTTCTGTTATTGATGATGACATTGATGATGATAATGCTGATGATGATAGTGATAATGATGCTGGTGATGATGATGACGATGCTGCTGGTGATAATGATGCTGTTGATGTTGATGCTGATGCCGAGGTTGATGATGACGATGTTGATGATGCTGCTGATTGTGTTGATGCTGATAATAGTGATGAGGAGGCGGAGCCGGATGACGATGAGGATGACGATGACATGTATGATGATGGGATGATGGTGACCATGTTGATGATTATGATGATCATGATGAAGTTGATCGCGATGATTATGATGATGTTGATCATGCAGATGCTGATGCTGTTGATGATGATGGTCACGATGGTGATGACGACGACGACGGCGACAATGATGATGATGTTGCTGTTGCTGATGATGACATTGATGATGAAGATGCTAATGATGATGATGATGATGATGATGATGATGATGCTGATGCTGATGCTGATGCTGATGTCGGTGATGATGCTGATGCTGCTGATGATGATGATGATGGTGGCGCTGATGATGCGATGACGGTGATGGCGATGATGGTGGTGATGATGATGTTGTTGATGTTGTTAGTGTTGTTGCTGATGCCGATCATGAAAAGAATAGTGATGATGCTGCTGATGATGATGCTGAGGATGATGATGATGATGATGCTGCTGCTGATGCTGACGAGTTTAATAATGGCGACGCTGCCGATGATGCTGATGATGCGGCTGTTGCTGCTGCTGTTTCTGATGGTGCTGATGATGCTGATGATGACGATGCCGATTGTCTTGTCCTCACTGCCCCAAGCGTTTGCCAGGAGCCTGGCACGAACTGTTAGTTGTTGGTTCGGCCTAACGCCCTTCAAAGGCAAGCCGCCGCGGTGTCGGGGGGAAAGCACCCTTAAACCAGCCCTGGGCATGGGGGGGTTCAGAGGAGGAGAAGGTACCGATACCGATACTCGAGAGAAATGCATGATCTTTGAAGTCGGATCCGGCTTAGAACTGAGAACGAAAACTAGAGAGTGGCGTGCTTGTGTAAGTTTTTGGGGCGTCGAGTTCGACTTCCAAAAACACGCAGTACTCTCAGCCCCGTTTTTGATGTGTGGGCCCTCCTGGGAGGCCCTCGTCGCCACCGCGTGATTCGCCTTGGCATTTCCGGCCAGGAGGCACCCCGAGAGAGGTCCGGGGAGTGGCGGTCTCCGTACCGCTCGGTCTTCCCCGGGGGGAGCTGGGGCGGGCCCGGAGACGCCGGGGGGCGGAGGTGGGGAGAGGACATTCACCACCCACCAAACCACCCCAACCCAACCCGAAGGCCCAAATTTATCCTCGATTTCCAGTGGGGGGGGGTCGGGGAACATTGAAAAAACACATGGAACCCGTACCCCCCCCAACCCGAAATTCGGGTCAGATTCGGGTCTTCGGGTTGGGTTGGGGTGGTCTGGTAGGTAGTCAGACCTGGGGGCCAGCATCGGCGCAGGCTGCCGTGGGGGGACCTCGCCCAGCCCCGGGACCGTCAAGAAGCGACGCGGGACGAGGCACCGGCCCTCGGGAAGGGATCGGGCCTTCCCGGGATTGTGTATTGAGAGAGTCAAGACGTCGCAGGTCTGGGCTGATCTGTTCGATAGATTGGAGGCTCGAGTTCCCTCCTCCTCCATGTTGTTTCTGCTGCTGCTACTGATCTCTCCCCCCACCCCCTCCCCTCCCCTCCCCCACTGGAGGGAGAAGGGGGATAAAGGAAGAGGCAAGCTACGTGCGCTCGCGCTTCATCTGACATCCTTCCCCACCCGTCATCCCTTCCCATTGTGTTGTTTATTATTTACCTGCGGACGCGTGTCATAGCCGACCTGCGGCTCCCACAGAAATACCACTTCGTGTTTTGCGCAATCGGACAACGGGGGTGCTGCGTGCACAGGAGGAGGAGGAGGAGGAGGAGGAGGACGAGGAGGAGGTGGAGGGCGAGCAGGAGGACCAGTGGGAGGAAAAGGGTGAGAACGAATTGCAGTAGCAGCCGCAGCAGGAACTAGAGCGGAAGGATCATGATGAAAGGAAGGATTAGAGGAAGGCGGCGGAGGGGAAATGAGGGGGTGACGACGGTGAAGAAAGATTCGGATTCAGAAAATTGGCCCGCGCTGGGGCGAGACGACCAGCAGCAGCAGAAACTGTAGTGGAAGGAGCGTGAGGAACAAGAGAACCAGGGGAAGGTGGAGGAGGGGAAATGAGGGGGGGACCACAATGGAGCAAGCCTCGGATCCAGAAGAGTGGCCCGCACTGTGGGGGCGAGAGCGCCATTCTGAACGACAGGAGCAAAGCGCCGATTCGAACACGAGTCCCACGCTGCAGCGGTAGCTTTTTTTTGAAACACCGAGAACAATCGGATTGTATAACACCTGCGAGCGAAACACAGCACGCGGAGGGTGTGGGGGATCTTCTGGACAACTTCGGAGCAGGAGGGAAAGTAATACTCATATTCTCATATTGCTAGATCTGTGGAAAGGCGGAGGAGGGGGGGGGAGGAGGAGGAGCAGGAGCAGGAGGAGGAGGAGGATGGACACGGGTGGCGGAGAAAGAGGATGAGGCGGGGGGAGGAGGAGGAGGGGGGGAGGAGGAGCAGGAGGAGCAGGAGGGAGATGAGGAGGAGGAGGAGCAGGAGGAGCAGGAAGGAGATGAGGAGGAGGAGCAGGAGGATCATCAGAAGGAGGAGGAGGAGGAGAAGGAGATGAGGAGACGGAGTAGCAGGAGGAGCACGAAGAGTAGGAGGAGCATCAGGAGGAACAGGAGGGGGAGGAGGAGGAGGAAGAGGAGGAGGAGGAGGAGGAGGAGGAGTCGTTCCCTCCACCTACCCTACTCTACCTACGCAGTCGTCCCCGCCCCATCTCCGCATCTGCAGCGATTCCCAGGGGCCCCGACGAGAGCACTTCAGGTGGCACCTTGCCGCCCACCCTCAGGCTGCCGGGCCGAGGGGGGCTTGGGGAGTACCATGCTTGCGCCCTTCCCATTTCCTTGTTTCTTCCTCTTTCCCCTCCGCCATTATCCTTGTCTTCTCTCCTCCTGCCTCAACCTGTGCGTTCTCCTTCTTTCTTCTTCTCCTCCTCCTCCTCCTCCTCCTCCTTCTCGCGCGTGGGTGGGCAGAGCTGGCTCGGCGATTACGTCCTCTCGATCAAGGACTCGTCCGTAATGGTTATCTCCCACGAGCCGAAGTTTTTGAACAAGGCGGCTGGGTGTGACAAGCCCGACGCCCAGCGCCGTGCCACGTGATCGTCCCCATCCCCCTCTCCCTAGCCCACCCCCCTCCTCCAAATTCCCTCTCAATCCTTCTTCCCCTTTGCCTTCCTCCCCCTTCCTCCCTCCTCCTCTCTCTCTCTCTTTCTCTTTCTCTCTCTCTCTCTCTCTTTCCCCTCTCTCTCTCTCTTTCTCTCCTGCTCCTCCCCACTCCTCTCTTCCTCACCCCCTTCCCTTTCGCTCCATTTCTCCGCATCTCCTCGTCGCGGTACCCTGCATGTGGGCAGGGTGTCGAGGACATTTCGTTTGGTATTCGATATGTTCTCGCCGCGTATATTCCTGGAGCTAGAAATGCGGATGCATTGGTGCATGGCGGGCAGTTTTTGCAGGTGGCTCTCGCTCAAGGGCTGCGCGTATTCGTTGCAAATGTTTGAACAACTCGAGCCGCTACGTGTGTGTATACATGTGTATGTGTATGTGAGTGCGTGTGCGTGTGCTTGTGCGTGTTCGTATGTGTGTGTGCGTGTGTGCGCGCATGTGCTGTGTGTATGTGTGTTTGTGTGTGCGTCTTGCACCTGCCTCTCACCGCACGTTGCCTCCTTTTAAGCCCTTGCTCACCAGAACACGGCGGTGCTCGGCCATCTTCTATTGGTTGCGCCGTTGGTTGCACCCTCGGCCGCCGAGAATAAGACCGTCTCCGCGCCCTCGGCCGCCGAAATTAAAACCGTCGCGTAATGGATCACCACCCGCCAAACCACCCCAACCCAACCCGAAGGCCTCAATTTACCCTCCATTTCCAGTTGGGGGGGGGTCGGGGAACATTGAAACAACACATATGGAACCCGTACCCCCCTCAACCCGAAATTGGGGTCTTCGGGTTGGGTTGGGGTGGTCTGGTAGGTAGTCAATGGATGCGACCAGTGCGTTCAGTTCAGCTCCGTTGGTCGGAGTTTACGTCGCGAGGAGCACATCGAGCCACGTCCGAGATAGGAGGGTGAGTCGGAGCCTGCAGCGGTCGTCCGGCCCACGCGCACTCTTGCAGGAAGTCCCTTAAGGAGGAGGAGGAGGAGGAGGAGGAGGAGGAGGAGGAGGAGGAGGAGGGGGAGCAGGAGGAGGAGGAGGAGGAGGAGGAAGAGGCGGAGGCGGAGGCGCCTTTCGTGTTGGAGACCCTCCTCGCTGTCCGCGTCCTGCTCCCGATGCGCCTTCTCGTCCTCATTGTGCATGCTTCTGCCTCTCCGCGTCCTCCCCCTCCTCGGTCACTTCGATGCTCCCTCTCCGTCCCTCTCCTCCGCCTCCCTCTCTGCCGCCCGCAGATCTGTACGGACATCATGGCGTACGTGGACAGGAAGCTCGAGTACACCGCGGGCGATTTCACCGCCTTTGCCGCGAAGAAAGGTCTCACCAAGGAGGGGGGGTATGGGGAGAGGGAGAGTGGGTCGGAGGTCAGAGGGGGACCTCCTCCTCCTCCTCCGCCTCCTCCTCATTCTCGTGAGGCGGAAGAGCCCGGGGCACGACGGAGGGGAAGGGCGAGAGAGATGGCCACGAGGGGGAGGAGTTGGATGAGGATGTCCGTGATGTTGATAATAGTGGTGGTGGTGGTGGTGATAATGACCATGCTTAGAACAATGGTCATGTTGGTGATTGTGGTTGTTGTGGTTTCATTCGGAGGAGGAGGAAGAAGAAGAGGAGGAGGAGGAGGACGATAGGACATGAAGACGTTGTTGATGGTGTTGCTGATGATTGTGAGGGAGGATCGCGGAAGGAACAGAGAAAAGGATAACGAGGAGAGAACATGTTGAGACAGACGATCGAGGGAGGTAGGCATCATGACGAGAAGGAGGAGGGAGACAGGAGGATGAGGGGCAGATGGTGAGGAGGAGGAACAGATGGGCAGATGGTGAGGAGGAGGAGGAGGAGGAGGAACAGGGGCAGGGGAGGGAGGGAGGGGGGGGTGGGAGCAGGCTGGGGGGGAATGTGCGCGATGGGCGGCATCAGCTCAACCACCCCCAGGAAACCGCCAGCATAGGACGGGCGATAAGGCGGAGGTGCGCGTGCGTCCCCCTCCGCCCTTCGGCCCTCGTCGCCCGGTGCTTGCGGAGTTCCAGCCTGAACTTGGTGCCGAGCGGATGTTTCTGTGGCGACCCCTTCACCTCTCTTGCTTGACCTTCTCCCCTCCCATTCTGCTTATCTGTTTCCTTCCCTCCTCCTCCTCCTCCTCCTCCTCCTCCTGCTCATCCTCATCCTCATCCTCCTCCTCTGCGTCCTCTTTCTCCATTCCTCCGCCATTACCTAGCAATACAAGAGGCTCCGCGTAATCGCGCCAGCCCATCCAGAAACGATGCCCAGATGAGCTGCCCTAGTCAGGGATGTGGGGGAGACTGCAGTGGAATAAAGGGCTAGGCAAGGCGTCGTACCCCAAGAAGGGAATAATGATAATGGAGGTGAAATCGGAGGAGGAGCAGAGGAGGTGGATGAGGGCGAGGGGGAGGGGGAGGAGGGAAGAGGAAGGATCCAAGAGGCCCCAAGAGGCTCCCTAGAGGCACCCAAGACACCCCAATCTGGGGGCATCGTGGGGGCCTCTTGGGGCTTTTTGGGCACCTTGTGGCTATCTCGGAGCGACCTTGGGAGCCTAACAGGCCATCTTGGAGGAGATCCCCCCCCAGGAGGCCAACATGTGTCCAAAGCCTTAGTCAGCTCAATGATTTCGGGCCTCTTGCCGAGCCTCTTGGGGCGTATTGGGTGCCTCGGGGGCGGGGGGGGGCTCTTGTGGCGTCTTGGGGGTCTCTTGGGAGCCCACAGTGGCGCTCTCGCCCCAGCGTGAGCCATTTTTCTGGAACCGACCCCGTCTTCGTCCGTGTCGCACCCTCCATCTCCCTGCTCCGCCTTCCCCTTGTCCTCCTGTTCCTCCCGCACCGTCCACTCCAGCTTCTGCTGCTGCTTTTCCTCCTCGTGCTTCCTCCTCGTCCTGTTTCTTCTGCTTATCCGCCACATCCTCCTCCACCTCCTCCTCCTCCACCTCCTCCTCCTCCACCTCCTCCCCCTCCAATGAACGCAGCTCCCTCGTTCCGATTGCGCATGACACCATATGTCCTTTTTTTAATTCCAGGGCCGCTCTGACACGGGTCCGCGGATTGAGAAAGCAGAGCGCCATGGGAAGGGATGGGTGGGAGGGGTCGGATGTAAGATATGGCGCGAGCGCACCTAGCTAGCCCTCTCCACCCTCACCTTTCCCCCCTCCCTCCTCTTCTTTCTTCTCCCCGAGCGTTGCCCAAAGAACGCACAGTGCAGAACATGCCGCCGTCGCTGGTGGTAGTGCTGTGCCGTTGCTGTAGGTCGTTTCAGTCGTCGTCCTGGTTCATCGTCATCCCGTCGCTTGTGCCCGCGCGTTCGCCATGACATGGCACAGCCCAGCTCTCGCCCAGGAGCAGATCGACGCGATGCTCTCCGGAAACCTGTCTTTCGATACGAAAAAGAAGAAGGCGGATGGCGAGGAGGGCGAGGACGACGACGAACCCGCGGTCCGCCCTGCCGCGTTGCCGGTGTTCTTCCTGGGAGGGATGGCGTTCGCTACCCCAGAACAGCTTTCCCCCAAGGAGTGCTTGCACCCAGGGGTTCTTGCATTTCTTGATGAGCCAGTTTTCCACCACCACCACCACCATAAGATGGATGGGGGGAAGCAGGAGGAGGAGGAGGCCGAAGAGGAGGAGGAGGAGGAGGAGGAGGAGGAGGAGGAGGAGGAGGAGGAGGAGGAGGAGGACCCCCTCCCCCTCCAAGTTCTGGGGGCGGTGGTGGAAAAAGAGGGCCCATCCTTTCTTCCCTCGGGCGCCCGCCAGGTGCGGCGGGGCCGCGCCACGCCGAGGGCCCGCAGCGCCTCGTGGGCGCCTCCTTGCCCGAGGAGTGCGGCGGGGCGTCGCCACGCTGCGGGCTCGGGCCACGTCGTGGGCGCCACACGCACACAGCACTTCTGCCTAGTGTGCACTCTTAAGGTGGGGCGGCTGGCCGGGGTGTGGTCCTCTGTCTGGCGCCACACGCACGCCACGTGCGGGCCCGGGCGCCCCCGCAGGCACCACACGGACTGCCTCGCACGGCCTGCGCCGCCGGACTGGTGTGGCCACGCAGGTGGCACCGCAGAGCTCGGGCCGCACGGCGCACAGCACTCAGAGGTTGCACCACCACACGTGCTGCACCGCACAGCCTGCACCACAGAGTCTGCGCCACACGGTCTGCACCGCGCAGATGTGCCCCCCTACGCACAGAGCTTGCGCCACACAGCTTGCACCACCTAGCTTGCCCCACATAGTTGCGCCACACGGCTTGCACGGCCACCGTGGAAACTCACTGATTGGGTGACACACTGGCGAACAGTTGTTCAATTGAGGGTTCGCGAGTGCGTCTTATGTTGGCCTCTGATACAGCCAGGCGTCTTCCGCCGCGGACGACGCTTCAAAAGTGCGGGCCCGATGCCAGATCCTGGCACAGCGAACAGATTTCTCAGACGGTGCACCCCCGCGTGTTTTTTGTTCTCCTGTTTGAGCGTGATCTTCGTCGCCGTCCCCGTGACTGTAGAGGCCCGCCTCCTGTTGCATCCTCTTTCCCTTCCCGGGGCGCGCGAATCTGTTTTTCTTGGCACCATTGCCGCCCCCATCGGCATAAGCACGTTGCCGCTGCAGCTCCTCGACCTCCTGGTCGTTGTCGTGGTTCCAATCCTCGTCGTTCGCCTCCTCGCCCTCCTCCCCGCCACTTCTCCTCCTCTATGCGCCCCGCGACCCTTTCGTATCTTCCTATTCCTCTCCCTTCTTGTCCTCCTCGTGCTCATGCCTTTCCCTGTCTTCCACCTGCCTCCTCCTCCTCCCGCCGCCTCCTCCAGTTGGGATGCCCCCTTAGAGATGTTCGCCAGGCTCTGTCCTCATGGGCGCAAAGCGACGACGGTTTCAGGGGTTAGAGGACCCCCTCGACTTGGTAACGTGATGTGGGGGGCCGTATGGGGACCAGGAGCCCAACAGTGACGACAAATCCAGTGGATGACCCCACGGATTGGTAGCATAACCTGACGCCTTATGGGGAGGGGTTCCTGCCTGACACTTCTTCGCATGCCATTTGCGTTCAGGGCTCCCGCTTAAGATTTCTTCCTGGTTCAGTCCCCAGGAGCCCAAACATGATGTCCGCCACAGGATTTGGATGACCCCCTTTTTGGTTGGTGACGTGAGCTGGGGTGGCCCTGCAGTTAAGGGGGTCCCGCCTGATTTGTTTTCGCTAGTCACTCACGATAGGGTTCCCGCTCGAGACTTCCGTCAAATTCAGTCCTGTGGAGCCCGATAGTGCCTACAGTGGCTACGGATGTAGCTTATACCCTTTCCTGTCTCCTCCGCCTGCCTCTTACTCGGCCGCCTCCTACAGGGGTGTTCCCGCTCGAGATGTCTTCAGGAACAGAAGAGGACAGGGTCCGGACGAGACCTTCGGGTTGGCAGATGCGGAGGCGTTTTCGCTCGAGACGTCTTGGTAATTTGCTCGCTGTCGAGACTTCCTCCAGATTTGATCCGCAGGATCCCAGAAGTGACGATAGCCACAGGATGTCCATGACTCCCTCGGGTTGGTAACATGATCAGGCCGGTGTCCATACAGGGAAGGGGCTCCCGCTCGAGAGGAGGCTTCCCCGAAGTGCACTGACGAAGTAGGCTCACGCTGAAGTCTTCTTCCAGAGTCAGTCCCCTGGAACCCACGACGAGCGACAGTCACTTGGGTCGAATGACGCCATCAGGTTAATGACATGTTCGGGTGGCCCTGGAAGGAGCGGGCTCCCGCTCGAGTCCTGCTCGCAATTCAATCACAGATGCGGCTTCCGCTCGAGACGTCCTTCAAAACTCAGTCCTCTGGAGCCCGAATTTGACGAATTCTAGAGAGTTTGGATGATCCCTTTGGATTGGTAATATGAACAGGTGTGCCGTGTAGGGAAGAGACCCTACTTGCGACTTCCCTGCAATGCGCTCACTGATGAGATTCCCAATCGACATGTCCCCAATTTCAATGTGAAGTGATGAGCGTATGCATGCACGTTTCTGTGTGTGCGAGCTGAGTGGGTGATGATGGTGACGCTGGCGATGGTGATGACGATGACGCTGCTGATGCTGGTGATGATGATGGTGATGATGACGCTGGCAATGGTGACGATGATGAGGATTAGGATGGGGATGTGGATTAGGATGAGGATGAAGATGAGGATTAGGCTGATGATGCTGATGATGATGCTGATGATGATGTTGATGATGATGATGCTGATGCTAGTGATGATGCTGGTGGTGTTGATGATGCTGGTAATGGTGCTTGTGATTATTATGATGCTTATGCTGATGCTCATGCTGATGATGATACTGCTGATGATGAATGTGATTATCAAGATACTGGTGATGGTGATTATGATGATGCTGAGGGTGATGACTGTGATGCTGCTAATGATGATGGAAATGGTGACAGTGGCGGTGGTGGTGATGATGACGATACTGATGATGCTGATGATAACGATGATGACGCTAATGACGATGGTGGTGATGATGATGCTGCTGATGATGATGCTACTGCTGCTGCTGCTGCTGCTGCTGATGATGATGATGATGATGATGATGATAATAATAATGGAGCTGGGGGGGTCCTCCGCGCGGTGCGTGTCGAACAACCAAGAGCACCCACTGTGGACGTGGGCAATCAAGAGAGTTCAGTGCAATCGGGTCAGGTATGGCTAGGGGAGTCCTCTGGGAGGCCTCGTTGGGTGTCTTGGAGATCTGTTGTGCCTTCCCGTTGCCGTCTTGAGCCATCGCGGTCGACTTGGAGACCATCTTCCACTGCGTTGCAGGCAATGGGGGATCGCCTGGCCGTCTTGGAAGCCGTCTTGCAGGCAATACTTGGCAACATAGGCTGTCCCTTCAGTAAATATCGACCGTCTCGGAATCACATGTTGGACGATTTTCTGGTGCTTCACGATGGCGGCGGGTCGGGCCGATGAACTACCGGGAACATGTTAACTTTCCAACACGACATGGGCAGTTCGGCACGGCAAGCACGCCTGTAGCAGGCACGGGGGCCGTGTATCGGAGACGCATACGGTGAACCATTGCCGCCCCCTGCCTTTCTGTAAACGCCGAAGTTTCCAAACGTTGTGCCAAAGCTTGGCCAAGCTATTGGACTACGCATGCATTCCCCCAGCCGTTGTGAGAATCCTTGGTGGAACGTGGGGGTAAGGAAGCGAGGGAGAATGAGGCCGAGGAGGAGGGGAAAACAGGAGTAGGAGGAGGAGGAAGAGGAGGAGGAGAAATAAGAGGAGGCATCTCGGGGTCGTTGGGCCTTCAGAGGGCCTCAGGGGGCTTCTTTGGCATCGTGGGGGGGCCTCTGGGGACGTATTAGGGGCCCCCTGGTCTCCGGAGGCTATCTTGAAAGTCACAATGTGCCGTGTTTGGGCCCGATTCGAACGTTGTCGGGTCGTCTTGAGGATTTTTGCGGCCGTCTTGGGAGCCTCTTGTACCGTCTTGTGGTCCTCTTGGCTTGTTTCGGGGCCCTCTTGGGTGCTTTGGGGCCGTCTTGGGGCCATACTTGAGACACCTTGAGACATGAAGGGCGATCTTTGGCACTCGGAAGCCCGGAATGGCGAGAACGCTAAATCTTCTTCGAGACAATCAATGTTTTTGTCCTGTTCGGACCCTCCTTGAGGTCTTCTTGGAACCATTTGGCGCAGTATCGGGAAGGTTTGGGCCGTAATAAGGCCCTGGGCCGTCTTGAGTCTGTTGGGCCATCTTCGACCGTCTCGGAGGCCATCTTGGGCCGTCTAGGCAATTTTGGAGGCGATCGTTGTGAAGTTCCCTGCGTTCCTGGTGGGCTTGCGGGTTGAGCCGAATTTTTTCCATTGGGAATTGGTTGAAAGGTTTCCACCGACTAATGTCCAGCACGCCAGCAACCCTTCTTGTGGGCAGCGTGTTTAGTGGCGTTTGGCCCATCCCACCAGTGTGACTGCAGCGCGGACCACTTGCCGTTTAGTGCTTAGGGACCTCTTGGGATCTCTTGGAGGCCTCTCGGCAGCTTCGTAGAGGCCTCGTGAAGGTATGTTGTGGTGGCCTCGTGGGCGTCTCTTGGGGATCTCTTTGGGGTATTTTCCGAAGCATCGGGCGGCATTGGGGACCATCCTGTTGGAAGGGCCATCTGAGTTCGAGTTCCCCTTCTCGTGGCCTCAACAGCTCTCAAGTATCAGATGAACGATACGATGTTGACCTCTTAGGGGTCGCGTTTGGGACAAATGCCCCAACATGTTTTAAACGTTAACCGCCGAACGCGACTTGCTGGGTTCGTCTGTAGGGCAACCGCCAAGTTAAGTCAATGTTGCTGACCTCATGGGGTCGTATTCGGGGCCAGCACACCAACATCCTTCAACCATCAACGGTAACTCATAGATGTTGACCTCTTGGGGCCTCCTGGGGCCAATCGGGCCGTCTTGGGGCTCTCTTCTCCCGTTTCGGGGCCCCCTGGGGCCCCTCTTGCACCACCACCGTGGGCACACCCTTGGGCCCCTCTTGCGCCATATTGGGTCTCTGTCTGGGTATTCGATGGCCAGACTGTCAGATTGGATTGGGCCCCAAGGGCCAATCTGGCCCGGCCAAACTGGATGATTTGGGTTATTCGCCAGACTGGATTCGCGTTGGCTCCCTCGCCAGATTGCCCCCGTCTGCCAGATTGGGCCTGCCAGATTGGCGCCAGATTGGCTTCGACTACCCAGTCTGTGGCCTCTGGCAGAAGTCGCGGGGTGACCCCCAGCAGCGGCCCAGAGCGCCCCTCGCTTCCGGCCTCCCGACCCCGGGCAGCGTTTACATAACCGTTCATGCAGAGAGCACGAGGGTACCCATCGGTCGTTGAAAGTAGGTATTTTTGGATTCCCAGATTCCAATCTACTTTCAGCGCCTTCCTACTTCAAGAGTCGAGTGGTTTTCCCTCTTCCTTCCTCTTCAGGAGGCTGGCGGATACCCAATCTAATCTATTTCCAACGCCTTCCTACTTCATCTTTCTACCTACTTCTTCCGACCGATGGGTACTTGAGGACATTCCGCTCAGTGCAGCCAGGCCTCCAACTTAACAACCGAATCGCCTCCTCCTTGGGCGCCGCGTAATGGGGGGGTCATAAATGGGGGGGCGGCGAGGGTGGCCCGAAAAGGTACCCAAACGGTACCCAAACGAGCCCCCTGGGGCCCTGGAGGGGCCCGAAAGGGGCACGAAAGGGGACCTTTTCTGACCCCCCCATTTGTGACCCCCCCATTAAGCCACGCCCAACCTCCCCTGATCCCTCCTGCCGCTGCCGATCCTCCCTCTGACGCTCGGCGCCGCCAGGTCTCGGCGCCCGTGTCCGGCCCGCCGAAGCTGAGCTTCCCGATCCCTGGCACCATGGAGGCAGCCGGGTGGTAAGCCAGGTGGAGGCGGGGCCCGGGCTGCGACGAGGCAGGCGGGGCTGATGGTGGGCAAGGGCGGCAGGCGAGGCTGATAGGGGAGGGGTGGTGACTGGGGCCCCTTGACGGGGTGTGCGTGGGGGGTGGGGGGGGGGGCGACGACAGTGAGGGCACGAGGAAGAATATCGGGAGGTTCGAAGGGGACGAGGGAGATGTGAACAGAGTTGCGCAGGAAGGCGTGAAGGGGGAGAAGATGGGAGGGGGATGATGACGCAGGGAGAGGGTGGACGACAGCGACGGCCAGGAGGGGCGGGGGAGGGTGGGATGAATGGCGAGGGAGAGGTGGGGAGGGGAAGGGGAAGGGGAAACTGGTGGGGGAACGGAAAGGGGGAGGGAGACAGGGAGGTGAGGCGGGAGGAACGAGGGATGAAGACGAGGACGCGGATCAGGAAGGACACGAGAAGGATGGGGGGGAGGAGGAGGAGGAGGAGGAGGAGGAGGAGGAGGAGGAGGAGGAGGAGGAGGAGGAGGAGGAGGAGGAGGAGGAGAAGGAGAAGGAGGAGAAGCAGCACCATAGTACAACCAAGATGCATCAACGATGTTACAAAATATTTTCCCTTCCCAGATGTCCCTGTAAGCGGGAGGCCCTTTTGAAACATAATTGCCTCGCCTCAGTCCAGCGCGTATGCAGGAATGCGAAAAGGCGTGATCATACAATTCAGCGGGGAGTCTGGCGAGATCCACGGTGGAATACAAGTATTCCCTCATCGTTGCCACGGTTACATGAGTTTGCAGATTTGGCTGGGACCTCCAACGCCGCGTTGTCCTCGCCGACTGCCGCCGCCACCGCCTCTGCGCCCTCGCCCGCCTTCCCGCCTCTGCGCTTTCTCGCAGCGGCGTGTGGCGCACCAGCCGCCGCGCCAGCCTCCGACGTCGCCTCCATGGCAGCCGTGCCCAGCTGCGCAACGTCGTGGAGCAGCTGCCCCAGGGCTGCCTCCGCCATGGGCGGCCGCGCGGTCACGACGGCCTGGGCCGCCGCGGCGCCCGCGGCTCCAGCTGCGCGCTCCTGCCGCTCCCGCTCGGCCCTCACCGCCGCTGCGTGTGCCGCCAGGGCGCCGCTGGCAACGCTGCTCGGCCGCCTCCTCGGCGGCGTCCCGCCCCTTTGCCTCGGCCTCGATGTCCTCGCTCGCCTCGGTCGGGGCAGGCCGCGCGCCGGCCGGGGCGCGGATCGCCCGGCCGTGTCGGGGCCCCGCCGGCCGCGCTCGGCGGGAGGCAGCTGCAGGGAGCCGCCGGTGGAGGACGAGGCCAACCACGGGTGCGATGGCGCCGGCGTCAGGGCGCGGCCAGCACGAGGAGGAGGAGGAGGAGGAGGAGGAGGAGGAGGAGGAGGAGGAGGAGGAGGAGGTGCTGCCGCAGCCCACACACCGAAGCCTTTTCCTCCAGGGAGGGGCCCGCCGCCCGCGCGGGCGACCTCCGCGCCCGTCCTCCTCACGCTCGCCCCGGCCTGGCCGCCGCCGCCGCCGCAAGGGGGGGCCGGCGTCCGCCACCGCAGCGTCGCCCCACGGTCGCCTCGCGGAGGCTCAGGGCTCCTCCCTCCTCCCCTCCTCCTCCTCCCTCCTCCTCCTCCTCCTCCCCTCCTCCCTCCTCCTCCTCCTCCTCCTCCCTCCTCCCTCCTCCTCCTCCTCCTCCTCCTCCTCCCTCCTCCTCCTCCTCCTCCTCCTCCTCCTCCTCCTCCTCCTCCTCCTCGTCGTCCTCCTCCTCCTCCAGCACAGCCAGGCTCCGAGGCGCCGATGGCGGCGCATGGAGCCAGTGCGGGGCTCGAGCAGCGCGCGGGGGGGCGGGAAGGGCAGCCTCGGGAGCGGCAGGAGGAGGTTGCGCGTGGGCGGAGTCCGGAGGGGCGCCCGGGGGACCAGCTGCCGAGCCTGCTCTCCCCCCGGGGCCACGGTGCGGAGGGGAGGGTGCGGGGTGGGTGGCTCGCAGGGCGACGGGGACCCTACCCGTGATGAGGTGGAGGGAGGAGGAGAGCAGGCAGAGAGCGGGGCTTCTCCTCCCCTCCTCCGCCCCACCCTCCACCCAGGAGTCGGAGTGGGGAGGGGAGATGGGCCAGGAGGAGGAAGGAGAAGAAGGGCGGGAAGGGGAGAAAAGAGATGGACAAGGGGATCGAGGAATACGAGAAGCAGCATGGCTTGGATGCGATTCTGAACGATCAGGAGCATGAGGACATCGTTGATGAGAATGATGATGCGGAGGTGGCCTCTTATTTTCTCAGCTGGTCCTGCGCCCATGCCCACGCGAGGGGGTCAAGTCCGGCTCGAAGTCCGTGCTGGAGGCGCGTTATGCGGCTATAGTTTTCCCCCAATTGCCCTCTTCTTCTCCTGTGATCGCTCCTTCCTCATCTGTCACGGGTGTCCCTTCTCCTTCTTGTTATTCCTCCTCGTCTTTTCCCTCTCCTGCCTTTTTCCCCCTCCATCCTCACTCCTCGCCGCTTCCTCCTCCGTCCCCTCTCCCTTCCTGCTCCCTTCTCTCTTCTCTCGGCTACTACATGTACGTATATCATCATTCGGCGTTGCAGCGGAGCAGCGGTTCGGGTCCACGGCAAGTTATAGCTCAATGTGAAACCTACTGGCTTTTGATAGCTACAGTTGAACGATACCGAGCCATACACCTAAAGGTCGGAGGTACCCGCTTCCTCGTTCGACCACCTCCCTCTTTTCTGGTCCTCCTCTCAGCCACAGCACTTGGTCATCCATGAGATCGGCCCAGGGCCACCGGTTTTCCAGAGTTGCGTGACGCGGTGCGCGGGCCTTTGGATTCACTTCAAGCCTCGAGGCACACACGCGGGGCTTGCAGACCAGACTTTCACGCTTGGCTGTTCAGATTCGCCCTGCCGTGGTGGATGCTCACACCGACCAGAGGCCAGGGGCCCGCTCTGGTTTCCCGAGTCACGGTGGCTTCGCACACAGGGCGGGAGGGTGTTCTGTTCGGACAGCTAGCTACGCGCTGGCGGACGACGCTCCGCAGCGCCGAAAGCCTTGGAGCGGCCAGTTTGGGGCTATTCTCGGCCTCTGGAGGCCTTCACCAGGCTCCGCGACTGTCAGGAACTGTCTCGGGCTGAAAAACTGGCCTTGGGGAAGTGGTCCAGGTCTCCGGGGGTCCGCGCACCGAGCAAATTGGAGCGCAGGAGGACGTCTGGGGAGCAACCGGAGGTGTGCAAGAACGCCCGTGATGAGGTGACGGGTCCCTTGTGGAGGGTTTCTCCGAAGGGCTTAGGCAACCCGTGTTCCTCCTCCTCCTCCTCTTCCTCCTCCTCCTCCTCCTCCTCCTCCTCCTCCTCCTCCTCCCTCCTCTTCCTCCATCTCATCTTCATCCTCCTCCTCCTCCTCCTCCATCTCCTCACCCTCCCCCTCCCTCCTCCTCCTCCTGCTCCTCCTCCTCATCCTCCTCCTCCTCCTCCTCCTCCTCCTCCTCGGGTCGCCTACGGCCCCGGGGGAAACCGTGCAGTCCCTGGTGCACAAGGAGAGCAGCGCCAGGGGGAGCGGCGCCGTGCCGCCGCGGGCCGCTGGCGTGAGACGGGTCTCGCGCGTGGGAGTACCGTCGGACCGAGGCATGAAATCGAGGTGGGTTCGGGGAGGGTCCTCCTATGTTCTTCGCGCTCGTGCGCTCCAATTTCTGAGGGCTCCCCTATCGCGCTTGTGCGCTCCAATTTCTGAATTGCTTCTTCGTGCTTGTGCGCTCCCCTATCGGTGAGTTCACTACGAGCGCTCCAATTTCTGAGGGCTGCGGCCCATTCCGACCATCCCCCGAGGGAAGCGCTCCGGCGCGATGGTGGCGGTTCGTTTGTTCGTTCGTTCTTCGTGCTTGTAGGATGCTCTTTTGTGCATCCTGGGGAGGGTGCCTTCGGATGTTCTGTTTGCTTTGGCCGACGGGGGGTCTCGTGTTCTTGAGGGATGCTCTTCTGGCCTGGGTCCGATTGTGTTCCGCGAGAGAAATCTTCAGCTTGCGCATCCAGGGGGGCGGGCTTCTGTGAGCGCGGCGCTGCGGCTCCAGGACGCCCAGGTGCGGAGTCGGCGAGTGGTCCGTTCCAGGACCAGTGGCCCCCCTTTGGCCACACCCATGTCGTTCGCTGGTCATCCAAGGGCATCGGCATGTGTATTCCGCGCAGGCTTAATGTAGTCATGCAGGGCGGCATGCATCACTGCTGCAGTGTTTCCATGAAGTGGATGTCATGTATTTGGAAAAGAAGGATGTGATTTTCGCGTTCTTGCCTTGGTGAACTATGGTTGGTATCATATGGCTTGGTGCGCTATGACTGGTGACTATGTCTGCAGCCTTATGTCTGGTGTTCTATGGTACCTTTGATCGTGGAAATGATTGCACTCTTGCTCTGATGGTCTATGGGTCTAGGTGGTGCTCTATGGCCAGTGCCGTGTGATGCATGCGAATGCTGCGCTTGTGTTGTTCCCAGTCCTGTTGTGTTGAGCTTCCTTTTTGAATAGACCACTGCTCGTGCGTCTCATTCCCACCTCCTTCCTCCTGTCTTCTACCTCCTTCTCCGCCTGCCTCATCCTGCGTCCTGTAGGCGGCGACTGCGAGACCTCGCGGCTCTGTCGGGGGCTGTGGATTGCGCAATTCTCGCCTTGTTTGGCGGGCTCCTTGGAGGCACGGCGGAGTGCACTGCAGCGCGGATGAAGGTGAGACACCACGACTCCGCTGGGGTGCTGCGAACTGCGCAACTGTGGCCATGTTCGTGGGCTCCTAGCAGGCACGGCGGAGTGCAGAGCAGCGCTGATGAAGGCGGGACCTCGCGGCTCTGTCGAGGGCTTCGAGCTGCACAATTGTTTTTGTTGGTGGGTTCATGTGAGTCACGGCGGATTGCAGGGCGCGCGGATGCAGGTGAGATCTCGCGACTCATTTGGGGGGCTGCAAACTGAGCAATCGTCGACACTTTCGTGGGCTCCTGGGGGGCGCGGCAGAGGTG